AATCCTGTGGGAGTAGTTGAACTCTTCATTTATGCACAAACTTTCATTTGTTCAATGAGTTTCTAAAGCTGCTGGCCACGTGAGTGAAAACGTTCTAAATAAACAAGAAATTACTCCGCATTTGTATTTTGCCAATTTGTCTTTAATTGAGTTGAAAAATGTAACTATACAATTCTGAATAAGAAACTTAAAGCTAAAAATAGTAAGCATTGTTATCCTTTACTTGCTTGTAACAAATGTTCATTTCATCCACAAAGGAGATGCAGTCGATTCACACTAATCACCCACGACTTGACGATATTAAGATACACTAATTTATGATAAAAATGTACGTTCTTGGAAACTAAATTACATTTTCCCTATTAATTTGTCATTATAATAGACACTTTAGTAAAGCAGAATTTTTTTTAAAGGCAAACATGCGAAGTAATCATTTCTGTCAAACTTGGCCTCGCCGAAGTGCCACTGTGATAGCGAACTTAAGCAACAAGAACGTCGACGTCCCGGACGTCATGAATAGCAACCGGAAGTTCCATGTCTTGCTTGCTTGATGGAACGCTTCTGTTGCACACATCGAATCTAAATGCCTTTGTTTGCTTCCACTGAACAAATTTGTCGAGTCGGAGCACTGAAAGTGAGAAAGTATCAACTTCCGGTCGTCATTTTTGACGTTCGCTACGTCAACATCCTCGTCGCTTAAGGTCCGTAATATTTATCAATTACGACAATAATTTCATCAAACTCTGACATCAAACAACTAGCAACTAATAGGGCCATTTATACGAGGCAAAATAAGACGCGTCTTACATAAGACGCGAACTTTCCGTATAAACGGCACATTTCGTCTAAAATAAGACGCGGCTTAGCTAAGACGCGTCTTATTAGATAAGACATGCTCGTACAAATGGTACAGTTCGCTTCTTATTTAAGACGCGTCTTATTTTCCCTCTTATAAATGGCCCTAATGTTGCATTAACCTTGGCCACAATGGACCAGATGACGTACAAGTCACAATAATCAGTTACAATATTTATAAAACTCTAAAACTACTGGCAACTCGTGTTGCATTAACCTTGGCCTCACTGGACCAGACGGCGTACAAGTCACAATCATCAGTTACAATATTTATCAAACTCTAAAACTACTAGTAACTCCTGTTGTATTAACCTTGGCCACACTGGACCAGATAGTGTACAAGTCACAATCATCAGTTACGATATTCAGTTTATCAATCTCAAAAACTACTAGTAACTCATGTTATATTAACCTTGGTCTCACTGGACCAGATGGTGTACAAGTCACTATCATCAGTTACAATATTTATCAAACTCTAAAACTACTAGTAATTCATGTTGTATTAACCTTGGCCACACTGGACCAGATGGTGTACAAGTCACAATCATAAGTTACAATATTTATCAAACTCTAAAACTACAAGTACCTCGTGTTGTATTAACCTTGGCCACACTGGACCAGATGGTGTACAAGTCACAATCATAAGTTACAATATTTATAAAACTCTAAAACTACTAGTAATTTCATGTTGCATTAACCTTGGCCACACTGGACCAGATGGTGTACAAGTCACAATCATAAGTTATAATATTTATCAAACTCTAAAACTACTAGTAACTCATGTTGTTATATGACTAGACTTTCACTCAACTAAACAGGGACTGCCATTGGTTGATTCCCCATAGTGATACATTAAGCAATGTACCCCGCTCGGGCTACATTGTAGCAAGTGATCAAAGCATGGTGGAAAGTAACGTGCCAGAAAACGGGAAAAATACTGACAGGTCCCGCAATTTTTCTTTTTCGTGAATAAACACGACAATAAACACAACAACACAAACACGAAGCCTCAAGCTAAAAAGCACCGATTTTTAAAGTTATCCCAGAAGTTCCCGGAGAAAAACAGCAGCTAGTGGAGGAAAATGATGCAGATAATATAAGGAAGGTACTTTGTAAATCATTCACTTAGTGGTTTTGAGAATTAAATTTGTGTTGTTATAAGTACCGAGTCCACTGTTTTGGTTCGCTCCGGTTATTCTTTTGTTGCTGTTGAAGTGAAAGTCTAGAAATATAACGAAACACTTACTGTCAGGTCCCTCGGGAAACCAGTTCGTTTTGTTTTCTCTCGAGTCCTGATGTTTCCCGAGACGAAGTCGAGGGAAACATCAGGACTTTCAGAAAAACAAAGCTAACTGTTTCCCTTGGGATCTGACATTAAGTATATTTTGTATCAACTTTGGTCTCACTGGACCAGTTGGTGTACAAGTCACAATCATCTGTTACCATATTTATGAAACTCGAAAACTACTAGTGACTCATGTTGTAATAACCTTGGTCACACTGGACCAGATGGCGTACATTTCACATTATCCGTTACAATATTTATCAAACTTAAACTACTGAAGTAACATGATCATTAGTTACAACGTGTGTAACAACCAACAATTTCTGGTTAGCAAGGTATCCGGAAAAAAGTTAAATCAACCAAGCAACGAAAATACTTCATTAAAAACACATAACTTTTACTACTGAAAGGCCTCCCACGCAGACGCTCTTAGGGTTTTGTCACGCATTGGGGGAGGATTGTGTGACGAGAAAAGGGAAAGCCTTCGTGGGAGGCTTACAATTACGAAAATGGGCAAACTTTTATTACTGTACCAATAAGAAGTTTCAATTTGAAAGTAAGTGCTGGCGTCAAACCAGGAAGACAATACGGTGAACACATGTGCATGGACATCCAACCTCGCATCTCATGTGCCTTATTAGATCCTCTACTTAGCTGTTCTCCAGAGATGTCTTGGAGGACTGGCCAAGTTTCAACATTACTCCATACCTTTCTCACAAGTTCGGCTTCCAGATCTCTCAGTTCGTCGTGACGATGAGTAACAAAACCTTCTCATTTGCAAATTACAGAGCGGTCTACGGTGAAAACTTTCCCGATAACACATGTGAGGGGGATATCACCCATTGGCCAGTTATAGCGTACACTAACAGTGACGAGGAACTCCCTTTTATTTAGGTTTAAACCCAAATCATCGGATAGAAAGCACTGTGAGCGACGCTTATGACCGTCGCCAGATCTAATGCTCGCTTAGTGTTAGTATTCTGTGCTGCCATCTCCTTAATTAATACGGCGTTTTCTCTTTCTTCCAGTTCCCGTAATCTTTCACTTCTTTCTACCTGTTGTTTTGATTTTACGAGGGAATCTTTAAACAAGGAAACATTTCTAGTAAAAAGCGTTTCTCGGCATTTCGAACAAACAAGGGATTTAGCAATTGGTCTCCGCAGCAAATTTCCCTTTCGTAAACGGTCGCTGCCATTTTTAAGACACTTAGAAAACTTTTGACCTGTTACTGAGAGCGTTTTTATTAAAGAGGAAGAAGATCGCAACCCACAGACGCACCTGGACCTTTCGCATCCTAATCTCTTTCCCTTTCAAATACACTACCACACCGACCCGCCAAAATTCCGAAAAAATTAAGTACCTAAATATAATGGCAACCTGTCTTTCGTAACTGACACATCAAAAGCTGGTGAACATTGCCCTTTCCACAACTTTTAACGTAAATTCAACTTGGGCTTCAACGTCGCTTTTTCTAAGAGTATTCAGTCAAAAACGTATAATCTGCCTTATTGTAATCTACACTAATCCAGGAAATATATTACATCGACCATGACTAAAGGCTTGGCTACCAATGGTAGCGCCAGTCAACTGTTAAAAATAGCGACGACCGTTTACGAAAGCTGAAGAAAGCGAATTAGGCGTCTCCGCAACAAAATTACAAAAATGGCGTTTGCAATGTGGCCTACAATGAAAAGAAACAAAAAATTAACCATAACTTAGCTTGTATGACAATCTTGGACAATATGTTACTCTCCATAGAAGGTTACAGTGAGGTCAAATAAGGATAAAGATTTGCATTTCAACCGAAGTCTGCTGAAGTCATATAGGCGACTCTTATTTGACGCGCAATGGTTGTTTACTTCCAATCTTAACGCAGTCAACGAGGAACTATTTTCGAAAAGGTCACAGAGTTTGGGTAACCAGTCTTGACTGATTTCTTTGTACATGTTGATGGTTAGTTTGACTGTAGTTAATGTTGTGTTTTTAGGGGAATCCATTTCATCTTCCAAGAAGGAGTCTTCATCCCCTTCAGAGTAATCATTCAGGTTGAGGGCGAGTGTAGTGACCGACGTGTTTTTCGCCAAACCCACAATAAGGCTGTGGACCCAGTAAGGGAATCGGGAAACACCATTAACTGTCACAGTGAGAGTGGTTACTGATTTATTTTCTGCCAATCCTTCACAGACACGTTGTACCCAAGAATCATTAATAAGGTTTACGTAGTTAATTGTCAGAGTTAGTTCATTTAATGATGTGGTTATCGCCAAACCATTAGCTAGGCCTTCGTACCAGTCTTCAGGATAATAGCGGTACCCATCTTCAGGATTTAGATAAAAACCATGAGAGCCGTTAACTAACTCTTTCTCGTTGTCGTGGTAGCTGTTAACTGTTACGCAGAGTAGCGCCAGTGAAGTGTTTTTCTCTAAACAGGTTCGAAAAAAGTAGCTCCAGAATTCATCCACATCACTACCATTGGCACTGATTACAACGGAAAGTGTAGACAATGACTTCATTGCCATCAAACTGTCACCCGAACTCTTTTCTCCAATTGTCTTCATGTTACCACGATTGTCAATTGCAAGAGTGAGCGTAGTTAATGAAGCCAGTTTGGCCAAGCTGTTGAGCAGACTGCATTCCCAGCCTTCTGCGATGTTATTGAGGTTGTTGATTACGAGATTTAAAATTTTCACTGAAGAGCTTTTCAACAAACTCTCTCCAAGTTCTTTCCCTAAGTCTGAGGACACGTTTATTACGTAGTTGTTGATGGTAAGATCGAGCGCAGTTATTGTTGTGTTTTCTGCCAAAGCATTACCTAGAAGGTGTGTCCACTCTTTACATGTAACATCGTCGTTAATGATTTTTAGAGTAACCTTTTCCTCTCTGATGTTCTTCTATACAGGGCTGGTGTAAGAGATGCAATATTGTCAATAGAGACATCAAGGGACTTGCACAATTCGTCAGGAACGACACAGACGTCACGCACTTTCACCTCGACAACTGCGTTGTTACCTGATAGTCCCTGAAGAAAAGTCACTGTTTCTGGGGCCAATTTTCCCCAAACATCGATCGTAAGGGAGAAAACAGTCTTGCGTCGGCTGAAATATCTTGCAATGCAATTAGCCACACTATTATTTAATTTTCCGTGCACTCTCAAATTCACGCTTGTCAGGGGAGCACGTACCAAGACCTCACATAAAGCTCCTGCCCCGTCAGCACTCAGCTCACCCCAGAGGATTACAGTTAAATGCCGTTTTGTCTGTAATCCTTTATCGACCACAGCTGGACCAGGACAAAAATAAGCCAATTGATTATGCGTTATTCTGCTGCAAGAATCTGGGTATACACTTAAAGTAACTGATACCTTCTTGGCCAAGCGAATATTTTCTGCAAACGACTGCCAGTTGTTCGGAACTTTTCCAAGGACAGTCACTTTTAAATTATTCAAAGAGCGATTTTCTAGAAGGCCTCTTTTCAGGTTATTAGCACCAAAACCACTAAGTTTGCCATCAACCTTAAGACTGAATGTCCTCAATGCGGTTTGCTGTGCAATTCCGTCACTGATAACAGCAGCTACTGAATCTTGCATGTCTCCATAAATATTAAGGGAAAAGTTGGTTAAAGCTTTATTTGATGAAAGCTTTCCCAAACCATGTACCGCGGTATCACTCATTGACCCACGAAAGTGGAGGGCCACAGACGACAGAAGAGTGTCAGCAGACAATCCAGTTTCAATAGCACTGGCCCAAGCCTCACCTTGCATCCAGACAAGTGTAAATTCTACGTTCTTCAACGATTTTTGTGTAGCTAACAACTCACCGATGACGACAGCTGTATCACAAGGGATAACACCACACAATTCTAGAGTAAACTCTGATAATGTCATGTTTCCAGATAAACCGTTATAAAGGGCGTTAGCTAGGCTTGAAGTCATTGCAGAGGTAACAATGCTTAGAGTCTGAAGCTGCGAGCAGGATTGTATGTACTCTGCAACAGTCTGATCGCTTATACGTTGAGTACATGAATCATGAACCGTAAGCCGAACTGGCTTCTGTAAGTTTGAAAAGGTTTTGCAGGCATCTAAAACGTGATATATATTGCCAAACTTGTCATCGCTAAGCTCAATCTGAACATGAGGAGGAAAGGGTATGTAGGAACAAAGAGTCTCTGCCATTTTTTCAGCGTGTCCACTTTCACTGAAGCTTTTTGTGAAAAAAGTTGCTGCTTCCCAGCCTCGGTCCTCGTCGTCGATCTCCCAGTCAACCCAGATCTCTTCCCCTTCTCGGTCATCCACTGTCACCACTCCTGACTGTTCGCAACTGACCCAGTCCCATTCTCCCCAGTTCTTCAGCTCCTCGCCAATCTGAGCGAATAGAATGTTTGCATCTCTCCCAAGTATACCAGAAACAAAAAGAAATACTTCTCGATACTTTTCCACAAGTTCAAGAAAACTTAGACGCTCAAACAACCTTAACTCGTTTCCTTGCAACTTGTCAGCAATAAAAGCGGCAGCCAGGTACTCTTGGAAGGTCTTGTGAAGGAAGTAGTACTCATGCTGGGGCATTAACCTCCTCAGACTTTCTTCCTTGTAAACTAGGCCTACGTGACGAGATACCAATCCTTTGTATCTTCTTTCAAGCGCAGCTAATTGACTTTCACGAAAACAATAGCGATCGCTCAGCAAACACAACCAAGCCAACTCTCCAAGTGCGAGAATGGTCTCTTCAAATTGCTTTTCTAAGGCACTATTTTCGTTAGGAGCCTTTAGATTGTGTTTAGCGCAATGTCTCCTTAAAAGGCACAGTACAATAACCTGGTAAAGCTCAGAACGGGAAGACGGCAAATTCCCCTCATAGTCCTCATAAATAACACAAAGAAGAAGTAAATTTAAAGGATTATTTCGCAAGGCATGTAACAGAGTGTTTTCTTTAATTTCCTTAATGAGACTTTCTCCTATTGATGAATGCAAGGGACCAACATTTCTAAAATGTTTTCTGATATAATCAAAAGCATCACTCTCTGTGAATCCTTTAATCTCCAAAAGGATATCGAAGCCGTACCTTTTCCGTACATCAATTCCCCTCTCCTGTCGGGAGGTAGCCAAAACATAACAAAATGGTAAAATTCTTCTTTGAAGCAGTTTATCTACATAACGTTCGGAATCTTTGGGAAGCTCATCCAAACCGTCTAAAATGATTAAAGTTTTCTCCTGGTTATGAATGTCCTTAATGAAGTCAAATAGTCTCCCTTTCGTCTTCTCCTCGATGTCTTCTGGCAACAGTTGCTCACTGATACTTTCCATTATATCTTCATGTATATCTCGACATTTCAAAAGCAACACGAGCTCGAATTTAGGAAAAGAACACTCCGCTGGGATTTTTCCATATGCCCAGTCATGAGCTAGTTTAAGGCAAAACGTAGTTTTACCAATTCCTGGACTCCCTTCGACAAGCGTCATAACATCCTCACCTTTGTCAAGAGCCGTGAAGATGTTGAACACATTCACCTCGTTATCATTCCCCCGGAAGTCTGCTTTTCGCCTTGAAACGATTTTAAGTCTCGTGTAGACGTCTTCCAGGGGTAACTCAATGGTGCTATCCCAAAGAAGTGGTCTTAACTGAGAGCGCCTTTTGTATTCAGCTTTGAGAAGCTTCAAAACAACTGAGTTGAGCCAACCTGCTGCAAACAAGGAGATCGTAAATATTTCTCAGTATTCCAGTATAAACCAGAGGGTTTTACACTAGGAACGTGTTAATTTGTAAGATGCTGTTCTCTTATTCATTTGATCAGCAGAACGACCGAAAATCCTTTCTATCTTCAGTGGCTTGTGAGTACCATAAATCCTCTATTAAGCTCCCCGGGGAGCTAATTTTTTTTCCAAGCACTTTTGAGGGGGTGGGGGCTTAATAGAGAGGGGGGCTTATTTAATTTAGCGAAATGCATCAACGGGAACAAGGTTTCGAGAGGACGGACTTGTGATAACCAGGCGCCATACTGCTTTTTTTTAACAATAAGAAAATGATAACAATTCTCCACAGAGAAGTACAGCATAAAGTTGAAAAGGTTCAGCACATGAAGTTGGAGGTCATGCGGCCGAAAACCATAAACAATATGAATTTCCAGCCCGAATAAACCATAGAGCGGTTTTCACTTGACTGTCGTAAAACCAAAACCAAAGTAAATACACTAGCCAACCAAAGGGCGTAGTAAAACCAAAACCAAACCAATTCCTCAATTACTTTCGACAGTCAAGTGAAAACCGCTCTAACCGATCAGGCAACGTTAATTTGTTTGTGAAGAATAAGGATGGAGGGGAGGGGGAGGGGGGGCTTAATAGAGAAGAAGGGCTTATTAACTTTCCTCCTCTGAAAAGGGGAGGCTTAATTGAGAGGGGGGCTTAATAGAGGATTTACGGTAAGTTAAAATAAATACACCACCTGGAAATCTTTACCGTCGTTCCTTAATATTAAGGAGCTTACGCAAAAAGACAACAAAAAGACGAAGATGCCAGCAAAACGTTTATGTGAGACAAACATGAATGGGTTATCAATTGCGAGTTTTGTCGAGATTTTCATTCACCAATAAAGTGTTCTGGTCTTTTAAACTGAGATGTGTTTAAAGGAAAGTGAAGTTTGGCCGAAAATTTTTCAAACAAAATTATTGACACGCTTGTCACTCAAGGTTTGCCGTCTTTTTCTTTCGGCTTCCTTTCACGTAAGTTCACCGTTAGTGGACTCACTATTTGCTTTTTCTGCCTGTGCACAAATAGGCTTCATATGACAACGTTGAATAAGGAACAGTAACCATTGGACAGCTGGAGCTCAAACCAAATTTTTTAACTTATTAGTGAATACCAAATTTCAGTGTTTTATTTCCTCACTGATACAGCACCACAGAGAAACTAACTTCTTTATCATTTTTGGGATTAAATCAAAAATTTCTAAAGTATACTGCCACATTTACCCTCCTACCACATTTACAAGTAAAACGCATTCTTTGTAAAATTACGTCGCCTTAAAGATTTGGCTTTTGTAACACATCATTGGTGATCCATTAAAGTCTTTAGGCAAACGTCATAAATCTCAGAAAAGCTTCGTTTATATCGTCAGAGTTAACAAACTTCAGATGGAAAATTCCTTAACTGAGAACAAATAAATAAACCAAGAGGAAACGTTTTTGTCCTGCGCCTGTGGTAGCGACGCAAAAAAAAACAAACAAACAAAGAACAAAAAACACTGGGTTAGGAACTTAACCGTTGACCATGCATAATCTTTCACTCAAGGAACTGTAGCACGACTTGACTACGTTTTTGGCCAAAATGTGCTCAAACTTCTAAACTGGCCATATTGTAGCTCGAGGGTTTTATGAAGCACGTTTCGAAATTGGGAGAGTGGGTCAGACGTGAAAAGCGTACAATTTGCTCCAAGCGTGAGTGAGAGCGAGTCGAGCCTTGTGAGAGCCTAACTTCAAACCGGAAGCAGAGCCGTACGGGCATTATAAAGCCTCAATCAAGGAACATAAAATCATCCACATTGTGTTACTTTCGATGCAGTGTGTCAGTGTAGTCCTACAATACTCCTAGCAGTACCCAAGATGTTTGTCACGTGAACCTAGCTTAGTGACCTAAGCTCCCACCAGTCTCCTGTGGCTCAGTGGTAGAACATCTGGACCAGTAACCAGAAGGTCATAGGTTTAACTCCTATTCGGGGAACACTTGAATTTTTTCTTCCGAGCCGCCTGTCTTAGTGATAGAGCATATGGACTAGAAACCAGAAGGTCAGATGTTCGACTCCTATTGGGTGTACTCGGATTTTCTTACCAGCCGCCTGCATCACTGCCTGAGAAACATCTTCCCCACTAAGACAGTTGTACATATAAAAAGAAACAACTAACCTTTATTTAAGAATTAGCAAAAACAAACCTTACCTTTATCTTTCAACAGCCTTGGGTATTTTGGAGCTGGAATGTTACTTGAAGATAACGGTCTTTTGCCTTTCTTGGAAGACTGGCGTTCCTTGGTCGAGCCTAAAATGAAATCAATTACTGTTTTTATATTCTGCCCCAATATTTTTGTTTACCGTTACACTTCATACACTGATAATCAATCCTCATATCAATTATATCTGCGATTTTTTCTACTAAAACATTGTATGAACTAGCTACATAAATGCGGCCATTAAATTAAGAAAGCTCGAAAATCGACGAGCACGCGAGCGAAGCGAGTGAGAGAGCGTGGAGCGCGACCCCCTTGCACTTGCGATCATTAATTCCGCGCGCGCTCAACGATCTCTAAAGAGAAAATTCTCTATTTTTGAATCTCCCCTAATACACTCTGTTTGCCCCCCAAATTTTGTATTCATTGTTTTCAAATGCTCCTGGAAGTACTACATTTTCCCAAGAGCATTTGAAGACAATAACTTATGCAAAATTGGGGAGCAGACAGAGTGTATTATGGGGGATTCCAAAATAGTCAATAGAGGGACTGTGAACGGGATAGAAAAAGGCCTGACTGGCATTCAAGCCTTAAAGGTTGCAGTTTCCAGACGCTGCAGACCTCTGTTGAATTGAACTAATCAAACAAAAACACAGGACAACAAAGTCTTGGATTCTGGATTCCGCGCTATTGACTCCGGAACTTGGATTCCGGATTCAAATCGTTTTATTCCAATGTCCAGGATTCTGGACTCCACGAAACAAAATTCCCGGATTCCTGATACCACAAGCACAAATTTTCCGGATTATGGAATGGGGCGATCAGTTGTTACTGATCACCTCGGAAATGGCCAGCATTTAAAAGTCCCGAGCTGAAATGATTTTTCACTTAAAATAACCTATACAAAACTACGAAGCCTCTATGATAAAATGCAACTTCCTTATACTGTGGTGTATTACCCTGTTTAGTTCGAGTAAACCTGAAACGAGTATTATTTATCGGCATCAAACGTTGTTAACCTGTAACCAGTGTGAAGCTGCTCCAGTGTGACAAAGTTTTTACCTTAATAAGATTTAGTCTTAAACGAGTACTTTTCAAGGCTTCAACCATTCCTTGTTAATTTAACATTCCAGCACGGAATAATCATTGAGCCCATATTACACAAAAGTATATCTCCTACATGGAAAACAATTAATTGCTCTTGTGGACATATTGCTCATGTTTCTAACATTCAAGTGTACCTTTACGAAGACGTTTTTCAGAAGGAGAGGGGTTTTCATCTTGACAGATCACAGTGGCTTTCTTAGATAAGTTCTGCTCATCTGCACTGGGACCTACAAAAGATTAGCAATACAATTCTTTACCTCTGAGCCTCAGGGTCGCGAATAAGACGTCACGAAAAAATTAAATTCGCGTTCTTTAGAAGGTATCGCGATTTTGTTTACAACTCTCTGATATTGATAAATGTAGGCAGACTTCTCTGAAGGAGTTATTAAACGAGATTATGGAAAAATTTGTTGCGGTGAGGTTCTCACTACTGTTGTCATTGTAATTGCGCCAGCCTACATTTCCTAATGCAAGCAGTACAGATTATAAGGACCAATTTATGTAACAAAGTGGGCCTATTACCTCGAGAAATGGCAAGCATTTGTTCCACAAGTCTTTTACTGTGGTCCTGCCAGCTGTACATCTCGGCATACTCTCCTCTGAGAACCTTGGCCTCTCTAAGTCTCAACTTTCGATCTTTCCCACGAACAGCTTTGATTGCATTGGCCCAATCTTTAGGATCTTCGGATTGTACAACACAACTTGAAGCAAACGGAACTTTTTTCACAGCTTCTCCAAGACCAGAGTTCCCACTGACAAGCACAGGCAGACCAGCAGATAAAGCTTCAAGGGCGGCAAGACCAAATCCCTCAGTTCGTGATGGCATTATAGCAAGATCTACTTCACAAAACAAACGGGCTAACTGCTCTCTGCTTTCATTGAAACAACGTACAGTCAGTTGACTTCTATCAATGCCTTGCTTAAGTAACAAATCTTTTACTTTCTCCTCTTCGCCACTTGGAGCTCCAACAAACAAGAGCTTATAGGGCTGTGGCTCGTCTTTCAACTCAGCAATAGCGCGAGCAGCAATGTCATATCCTTTCAGCTGAAAATCTTCATTGTCACCACGTCCAAACACTAAAACACTGAATGTTTTTCTTTCTTCAGTGGCTTGCTTTACATCAGAAAATTCTGAGAAGATACCTGGAGTAAGATTAAGAATATCTTGATCCTTTCCACAGACACGGAGATAACCTGAGAAAGCTTCAGCCAGCTTGGGACCAACTGCTACAACTTGATCAGCTTTTTCAGAGAGTTTTACCTCAGCCTGGTGCTTTTTCTCACCTTTTGAAATGGCATCTGCATAGGACTTGTACATACCAAGCTCTTCAGGAGCTGTATGAACGACCTGAATCCACTTGCACTTACACTGACGTCTTATACCCTGCACTTGCCGACCAAGAACAGCCCCATGTCCTATCACACAATCCACAGAATGATTTTCAGGAAGAAAGGACAACCAGTCAACAGGGTCATAACCTTGCATTTCTTCTGCTTCAATAAGCTGTACATTGTGACTTGCAGCAACTCGTTTATCCTCTTCACTACACTGAGGGAGATAAACACTGACCTCCACGCTGGGGTGTTTTGCCAACTGAATGGCCAGCTCTCGGTTGATGGTTGACAAGCCTCCTTTTGTTGATCTCCATTCACTGCTTAACAGAGTAACTTTCAATTTCCTGGAGGAAGTGGATCCTGAATTGCTTGCATGGTCTTCCTGTGATGTAGAGGCTGTGCTAGGAAAGGATGACAATTCCTAAAAGAAGAGTGGCATAAATTTATTAAAGGGTTTATTAAAAAGCTAACCTGAGATCAGGCTCAATTTTGGCAGTTCTCAAATATTCTCTCTTACATAGTCCCACAAAAATTTCTCTTTTTGTTTCGCCTTGCCCGCCAGAATGTTATTTACAAAGAGAAACGAAAATAGAGCCTGACCTCAGGTTATTTAAAAGCCTTTTTAATAGTAAGTTCTTGCAAACTTAAATTGAGCATGGTCTTCCACTGCTTTTCTGTCCGCAAGAGGACTGGAAAAAACTGACTAGAAAAACAAGCAGGACATTTTTTTGAGTTTGGGCTACCAGTTATGTCTCATGTATATGTATATATCTATACCATAATTAAATCCTCTATTAACCCCTCACCCCCTACCAAATAAGCCCCCCCCCCTTTCAAGGGAAGGAAGTTATTAAGCCCCCACTCTCTTTTAAGCCTTGTCTCCCCTCCCCTCCCCCTTTTTTCTTAAATGATGAACCGTATTATTAATTATGTACTGTAACACTAAACGTCATTGGCCCAGTATGATTTATTCATGTGCCTGAAAGGGGGGCGGGGACAAAGACAACTTGTAGGGTGAAAGGTCAAGAGTGTCTCAACAGCACGGTACGCCTGTACCACGCTAAGACGGTTGGACTACATGTATGTAAACAGCACAGTATGCCTGTATCACACTAAGAGGTGTGGACTACATATATGTAAACTGCACAGTACACCTGTACCACACCAAGAGGTGTGGACTACATGTATGTAAACAGCACAGTACACCTGTACCACACTAAGAGGTGTGGACTGCATGTATGTAAACAGCACAGTACAACTGTACCACACTAAAGAGGTGTGCACTACATCTATGTAAACAGCACAGTACACCTGTACCACACTAAGAGGTCTGGACTACATGTATGTAAACAGCACAGTACGCCTGTATCACACCAAGAGGTGTGGACTACATGTATGTAAACAGCACAGTACAACTGTACCACACTAAGAGGTCTGGACTACATGTATGTAAACAGCACAGTACGCCTGTATCACACCAAGAGGTGTGGACTACATGTAAGTAAACAGCACAGTACACCTGTACCACACTAAGAGGTCTGGACTACATGTATGTAAACAGCACAGTACGCCTGTATCACACCAAGAGGTGTGGACTACATGTATGTAAACAGCACAGTACAACTGTACCACACTAAGAGGTGTGGACTACATCTATGTAAACAGCACAGTACACCTGTACCACACTAAGAGGTGTGGACTACATGTATGTAAACAGCACAGTACGCCTGTATCACACTAAGAGGTGTGGACTACATGTATGTAAACTGCATAGTACACCTCTACCACAGTAAGAGGTGTGGAACACATGTATGTAAACAGCACAGTACTGAGTACACCTGTACCACACTAAGAGGTGTGGACTACATGTATGTAAACTGCACAGTATACCTGTACCACACTAAGAGGTGTGGACTACATGTATGTAAACAGCACAGTACACCTGTACCACACTAAGAGGTGTGGACTACTGTACATGTATGTAAACTGCACAGTACACCTGTACCACACTAAGAGGTGTGGACTACATGTATGTAAACTGCACAGTACACCTGTACCACACTAAGAGGTGTGGACTACATGTATGTAAACAGCACAGTACACCTGTACCACACTAAGAGGTGTGGACTACATGTAAGTAAACAGCACAGTACACCTGTACCACACTAAGAGGTGTGGACTACTGTACATGTATGTAAACAGCACAGTACACCTGTACCACACTAAGAGGTGTGGACTACTGTACATGTATTTAAACAGCCCATTTAATGACTTAGTGAAAATGCTTTAATCGTAAATCAAATTCTCTTAACTACCTGTAATTCTTTTTACCCTTTAAACCCTAATATCAAAATTCAAATTCTCATGTCTTGTCCCTATTTGTTTTCAGAAGAAGTAGTGGGGAGAATTTGTTGAAACATCAATTACATTCATCTTGTGAGATCAGGTCCTCAATTCTCATGACCACTGTGTTTTATAAAGTAGTGATACTACAAGGAGAAATTTGATGCTGATCACTCTTAGGGCTTAAAGGGTTAAGGAATGCACAAAGATCATTCTGGAGAATTTGTATGTGGATACTGGTGCTTAAAGGGTTGAAACAAGCCATTGAAGCCCACACAGCAAGAGCACGCCGGAGCACACAACCAAAATTAGTCCCGATGTCTTGATGATATGTCGTCATTAACAACTGTTTCTTTACCTCCACATATGGAAAATGTTTCCCTTGGGAGTTTACAGAGGGACACATGCACTCGGGGGCAGGGGGGATTTAAATGCATTTTGCCTTAAATCAGGTCAGAATCTAAGGGTTTTAGCAGCACAGACCCAACCAAACTTCCTTTAAATCTCCCCCAAAAGTTTCTTCCCATATGCATAAGAATAGATATTACTTTGACGGTTTTTTTCCGAGTTAAAGATTAACAGATGGAACAAAGGGGGCTCAAATCAGACCTCCCCTGATCCAGAGTCTGATATGATTAACATCCCTCCACCAACATTCACAACCACAACTAGAACTTCTCACACCTCAAACCTTACAACTTGTAAGATACCAAGAAAAATGTACCTTCACTTGACTGACACTATAGCTAACAGATGACGAATTTTGCTTACCTCCATCAGCCTTAACACCACAGGAATCCTAAAAATCCTTTAACACTGCAGACATGAACACTACAACAGGAACAGAGAAAGAAAGTACACATTCTAAATAATGGTGCAACTACATATACCATTTGACACTTTCTTTTTGTGGAAGTTTATTTATATAATTTGTGGATGGATGATTATTTGCAACAACTAATTATTGGGATTGGTCCAGTCTGGTTTCTCTCCTTCTGAATCTTAACAACTCAGCGTTATATTTTTTATTTGAGTCAAAATACAGGTAAACCAAAATTAGAAAATGTTGTGGGTACTAAAATCTGTTCTCAGGGTAAACCAGAATTTCATTGTCTCCTACACACTGTACATTTGTATGATTAATACGGGCTAAGAAAGAAAGGAAATTCTGTACCAAACTAGGTTTAAAATAATATTATAGTCCTGGCCCCGGTTGTTCAAACCCTGGATAGTGCTATGGATGAATCTCTAACCAGCGGATAGAGATTTATCAAGTGGATAGAGTTATCCACCTTTTGTACAACTGGGGCCAGGTTTAACCAGAGAACAGATTTCACATACAACAAAATAAATTCTGTATTATCTTTCTAAGTTATTACAGTTGTGGAGGTCATATTTTTTGCAGCAATGTGTTTACTGGCGGGGGAGTGGGGGTTACAGCTGTATGTGGATCTTGATGGAAACCACAAAAATATCAAAAACCACCAAAATAAAAAGCCACAAGGTAAGATATGAATAAAGTAGTGCTAAGTGGGCTGGGACGTTCAGGGTAACTTTGCATTACAAATACATAATTATAAACAATCTAATTCTTTTTACAGGTGTATTTTTCAAAATAATAACCTCTTTCTACCCCAACTTTATTTGCATTAACACTTTTTTGAGTGAGTATTTATCCCAGGGGTATGCTGGCAGAAGAAGGGACTGGACTCCACTGTCTGGAGGATACTGAGGTGTACATCCCCCTGGGGGGAGGGTAGACATCAATCATTTAGGGTTTGGGGGGGTCAAGTTATGAAATTTCACTATTAACAGGGTGTCTTTTATTAAACTTGAGCGTTAAACAGGGTGTGAACATTTGGTGATCCACAGTGTGATACCATTAATTTTTTTCTTTAAAAAAATCTAATCCCATGATGCCAGTTAAAGGAAATGGATCAGGGTCATGAAATGCGTTTTCTTATCTTAAACAGGGAAGTGAAGAGAATGGTTTTTGTTTAAATAGGATGAAGGTCTGAGGGCCTTGGCATTCAACCCCTACCCAAACTTCCCTTCAGTGTCCCCCCCCCACCCCATCCCCGCCACCCCAGGAAGTTTTAATACCATTACACAAAACATTTTTTCTGCAGTAATAAAATTCTGATTGTGACAAAACTATTAAATAATTCAAATTGTCTTACCAAAGCTTGGTACATGGATCATTATCCTCTGAAACGCACACATCATAAAATTTGAACTGATTGGTAGCAGGAACCTTCATAATAAAATCAAGGGCAATGCGTCAAGACAAAGAGCAGTTCACTTAGTTACATATAATTATTATAATTATTGCTTTTATAGAACCGGTGCCGCTGCACTGCCTTGCTGATGGTACTGTTGCTCACCAGTCAATAAACCTCCCCCTTCCCCCACAGTCAGCCAAGATATCCATGTAGTGTAGAAGGGCATTTGACTGGTAGGCTTTGCAAATGTGACCACAGGATTTCAAAAAGGAAAAGTAATAATCCTTTTTTTTTCCATTTGTATTTGTAACAGGGCTCGAAACTGCGACTGATACGGTCGCCAATGCGACTAACTTTTTCTCCTTGGCAACTAAAAATTCTAGTTTAGTCGCCAAAGTCGCGACCAAATTTCTCTATGATTTAGATTTAAATTAAAAGAGTAAAATTAAAACAAACATTTCATCTTATCCTGCTTTGCATTCATCATAAAAAATGTGCCAAATCGCATAAACCAAGCCAGTATACCTCCAAATTTATACCGACTTCTATCCACGATATTTTCAAATCTGATGCATCGCACCATACTATGCAGGGCTTCTGATAGGTCGCGGAAAAAAAGTCAAATTTTGCGGGATTTTTAGGGGCAAATTCGCGTAAAAATCGACCGATTTCGCAGGAAGTTTCTGAGCAAACTTAGCCGAAAATCAATCGGTCAAAAAAGGCCGATTTTGTGGTTATTTTCAGGGAAAACTTCGTTAGAGATCACCCGGTTTTGCGCTGACCAGACTTGCGTTTTTAATGTTTTTGCGACAGAGGTCATCATTTGCTCTTTCAACAACAATACGCTCCAGAACTGAACCAATGGCAAAGCCATTGGCTAGTGTCCAGTTTTTCGCAACATAATCTACGCCTGGTAGTTTCGGAGTTTAGGGACGTTGTTTGCATTCTTTGCACGTTTCAGTGACAAAGTTTCACGATAAATTTACAAGTTTACAGCAAGTAAATAGCCCCAGTAGCTGAGAAAAGTTTCAAATATGTTGTACAGACATGTATTTGATAAGATTTCTACCGAATTTCGCGGTATTTTGCATGTTTTTGTGAATTTCGCTGCTTTGCGACGGCGCAAAATATCAGAAGCCCTGACTATGAGCTGCGTCATTTCCATTACACAAACTGGCGACTAAAAATTTACATTTGGCGACTATATTTCTCCAGCTGGTCGCCAAAAGGCGACCTGAGGATTTTTTTAATTTCAAGCCCTGTTGTAACAGCTTTTTTGAGTTACTTTAATTCTATGATGGTTTATAGCTTCATGTAGTATCATGTACAGGACTTTGATATCCACATTGCCACATTTTAGGCAATTACTCTATTTCTTGGAATAAACTCACGCTCTAATAACCCACCTCCTCCAAAAAGGCGCCCACCTCATAGGCCATACATGTACATGTAAAATATCAAACAAGTGCCCCTTGTGAATAAGCTCCCCCTCCGCCCAGGGCTGGGGATACTCTGGATTTCAAGTGACAGGGATGATCGAATGGGGGCAAAAATCAAAACCCAAAAAAATCCTTAGGGCTTCCAACAAAACCCCCAAAAAATCCCTGGACCAAAAATTAACCCCAAAGCCATGGGGGTAATCCCATGCCAAATTTCTAAGGCTTAAAATTTGCAGCAGGCTTTAAACTGGTAAATGATATAACTCGAAAAATATGAATAGAAATTGAATGTTTGTGTTTGTTTATTCATCACACCATCTGAATCTTCAGACTGTTTTGAATACCCAAAAAATCCCTTCTTAAATCAAGCCCCCTGAAAAAATGCTCACCAATTTTTCTACCCAAAAAAATCCCAGAGTCTGAAATGTCCAAACCTCAAAAAATCCTTCGATCATGCATCCCTGTCACTTGAAATCTGGATTACCCCTCCGGGCCCCTCCCCACCCCTTCACTTTCTTAAATAGTTAGGATACAAGAAAAACATGTTTCTATTTCCACTTAATAGACCTTGCCACGGTTTTCGACGCCATCTTGATGAGTAGGCAAATTATGCGTGAGAAATTACAGTGTTTGTAGGAGAATCTAATTTCGAATAATTTGCGTAAAATGGCTGTTCTGAAAAAAATATGATTTGTAAACTAAAGCTTTATTCCTAAGGACTCTACTGAAAATATTTGAGGGTGCTACATGCACTAGAAGACCTAGAACCACTTTTTAAATTTCTTATACATTTGTCTGTAAGAAAGTCCCGGGAAAATTACAGACAAATATGTGGAAAATCTAAAGCAAGCCTATGGAGAAATTATTTAAGTACAGGTACACCCCCAAAATTTGTTACGACAATCCTTTGCTTTGTAGCTTTAGTTTACAATTGATATTTTTTTTTCAGAACAGCCGTTTTACGGAAATTGTTTGACATTAGATTCTCATACAAACACTGCAATTTCTCACACGTTTGCCTACTCGTCAAGATGGCGTCGAAAACCCTGACAAGGTCTATTGATGAGTGAAACAATATTTCATGATAATAATGAGATCAAAAATAAGCAAACCAATCTATATACACTTGTTAAGTGTGTAATGGGCCTGTGGTACACTTAATTACCAACCACTCTTTCAACAGATGAAAGGCAATAATGTTGGCTTACCGTTTTCATAATTTGCTTTTCTGTAGACCTTGTCACGGTTTTCGACACCATCTTGACGAGTAGGCAAATGCGTGAGAAATTACAGTGTTTGTATGAGAATCTAGTGTCGAATAATTTCCTTAAGACGGCTACAAAGCAAAGGATCCTCCGAAAAAAATTTGGAGGCTTACCTGTGCTTAAATTTCTCCAGAGGCTTGCTTTAGATTTTCCATATATTTGTCTGTAATTTTCCCGGGACTTTCTTACAGACAAATGTATAAGAAATTTAAAAAGTGGTTCTAGGTCTTCTAGAGAATGTAACGCCCTCAAATTTTTTCAGTAGAATCCTTAAGAGTGAAGCTTTGGTTTACAAATCATATTTTTTTCAGAACAGCCGTTCTACGGAAATTATTCGAAATTAGATTCTCATACAAACACTGTAATTTCTAACGCATTTGCCTACTCGTCAAGATGGCGTCGAAAACCGTGACAAGGTCTATTAAAAATTTCGCTAAAATAAAGCTACAATTCATTGAAAAGAAAACTTAATAAGCGACCTTCTCCCAATAAGTGCCTGTATCCTTTTAACCGAAATTTGTCACAAGAGCCCAGGCGCTTATAAGAGGAAAACAGTAATATTAATTTTTATTTTTCAAAGTTTTCATCTGCTCATTCCCTAATAATAATTATGAGAAACTCACACCTGAGTCTGACGTCTGGCATCTGCCGTAAACGTGATTGTAAATCTCTTCAATGTCTGGCCACATCGAAGGGCCAAATCATAATGACTGTTTTAAATAAGATGTCAGAAAACTTAGAAGCTGTACAATGCATGGCTGGTTCTGCTGTAATTTACAATGTAAGTCTTCAGAGTCACGCGATATGTCTCGTGTACTCGACTGCAGAAAGATCACCGCTTGCACATGCCCTAGGGCCTAATAGAAAACTAATAAGTTGCAGTTTTCTTTTCGAATGTAAAAACAACGGAGAGGCCTTGTGAATTTACAGGAAGAAAGTTAAATTATAAATTCAATAAGCTTACACTTAATGCTTACCTAAACTTCAGGAATCTTGCAACGAAAATGCAGCTACGTGGAGGCCATCTTTGCTTCCATATCGTCACAGTTAGGCATAAGGAAACGCTTGGTGAGAAGATTGAATCAGCCCATGACTGCAAGACTGATGAAAACAGCTAAAAGTTTGAAAGTTCCTCACGAAATTGTACAGATTTTCCTTCCCTGCAGCGCTTCCGCCTCGGCCTTGTTGGCTTCGTAAGAAGCATGAAGGGATGATTTCATTGGTCAAACGCTGTCACATGATGTGACACGTGAAAAATTACCAGGGTGGAATAACGAAAGAGCGGACAGAGGACTTGCATGAGGAGAAAATGGAACAATTTGTTTACATTCTAATGTAATACGTATAGGTGAAGAAGACACAACAAAACGTAGAAAAGTGACAATAACAAGCAGCAAAAAAAGAAAACAAAACAAAACAGAAAAACAAAGAAAACAAACAAACAAAGCAGCGGACCTTCATGTCAGCCTACTTCTCGCTGGGCGCCTCAGTAGAATCCAGGATAATACAGAGCCAAGAGTCTAAAAGCGCGGGCGAAAAAATGACGAGGAAAAAAAAGCGAGAGGAAATCTCCCCTCGTTTTCCCAGTGTACGCTTTTTAAAACACGCTCCGGTCCCCACAATCTGAACTCCGCGCTCTCGTTCATCGTCCCTCTTTGCCCGAAACCGCACGGAAACGCTGGCTACGGAGGCTAAGAAGACCGTGTAAGAATAGGCTAGCTCAGGGATAATAGGCAGTCCTGATAGAACTAACATTAAAATTAAAAAATGGGCAAGAACAAAGACGTCATTAAAAGAAGGGTTACAAGGTCTTATAATGGACAATACAAACTTCCGCAGCTGTTGGGATTTGGCATCCGCGAATAATTCTTTATTCCACAATTACCTTTCTGCTTAAGCTTTACTAACATAAGCGAGGCTTTTTTAAGTGTTTTTTTCGGGCATGGGTGATTAGATGCTATGAATGGATTTGGAAGAAACGAATAAGCCAATGTCAGGTGGTCTGCGCATCGAGTATCGGTAATTAGTAGAGGACCAAGGACAAAGCCTTGTGAGTACTGATGACAGAAAGTGACAGGCGAGGTTTTAGTCCTACTGACGCAAGAGAGGGTTTTTTATTGTTTTTTGTTTTTCGAACATGGGTGTAGTGAGGGTGATAAAAGAAATGAAGTTGTCGTGTTGTAAATGCCACTTTGAGTTTTTACCACAGTGGTTTATGATGAAGAAGGACACCCATCCGTCCCTTTTGATATCCTTTTTCACACCCACAATGACAGCTAGAACTCACAAACGGGACGAGGCTCTATCCTCCATTTGCACATCGCCCGTAATACACCTTGTTTGCCCCCCAAACATTTTGTATACGCATTGTCTTCAATTTTTCTTGAGGTGACTATAATACCCAGGAGAAATTAAAAACAAAAGTTCTGCAGAATTTTGGGGGACAAACAAGGAGTATTACAAGAGATGTGCAAATGACGAATGCTGTTTTCGAAAAGCGGAGACTTCATTTACACTTTTACTAAATAGACCGCATTCGTATTGTTAATAGGTGACTCCAGCTAGCATGCAACAGACCCTAATGCGTGGTAATTAGATGAATGAGCCTCGATTGTAAGCTAGTTCCAGTCAATTACCGCGACTAAGATTGGGCAGGTGTAAGATTCAAGCCCAACGCCTCAGCATCGCTGGCTCATGGCTGAGAGCATCTAAGCTGACGCAAAGGTATTTTGCTCACCCAGCAGGATGTCATTCCTTGTCCCGGATTGATGGTCCAACCGTGTTTGAACCCGAGTCTCCCGATTAACAATCACGTGACCTGAAACTGTGCTGTAAGAGTAGCGCGCGATTCTCGTTCCGTCCTCTCCTTTCACTCTTCACCCCTATTGAGACGGATAATCCATGTTCAAAATCTGTCAACAATTGACGGATAAAAAGATGGACAAAGTCAGGGGGATTTTTCATCTAAAATTAAAACCGTTCCATTTTTAAATTAAGGCGCATTATCTCTTTGACGCGAATTCTCCAATGCAGAACCATTCTTAGATGGATAACCGTCTCTAGTGTGAAAACGGCCAATGACTGTGCTCTTAACAGGACTTTCGAGAGTATTTGTTTGCAAATATTTAAAGTCACTTCAGGGTGTTAACGAACATTAAATGAACAACGACCTCAAGAAGCCATATTGAGGAAAAACCAAGGTACACGTAGCCACTATAAAACACACACCGTAAATACACCACTTCCCTGTTCTATTTGATACAAACTGGTTCCTGATCGCTCCCGAGAATACGAATATAATCTGGATTAAGCCTCGGCCAAACGTCGAACTTTTTATGAGACGAACCAAACTCTTATTTCGGTCGACTTAAATTAAGTTAAGATTATATGTTGGGTCAAACATCGAGCCTAGGATTTGTCGAACCCCTCAACTGAATCAAACGAAGAAGCAATTTAATAAATTTTCTCCCGAACGAGGCTAATAAACATTATCACACATTTATATTTTTAATTTATTAGTTTAGTTCGCTGAATGTTAGTCCCGGAGACGATCTTTATACGTTCTATCCGTCTGCTTCAGATGGAGGATCCAAACTCATTGAGACGAACTTAACTGAGCCAGACGTCGAACTTTTCATGAACTTAACTCAGTAACTTTGTTACGTCTCATGTAAAGTTCGACGTTTGGCCTAGGCCTTACAAAAAAGAATTCAATGCTAGGCTTTATTTACTTTTGAAAACTTTATTTTATTGTATTTAAAATGTAACTTTATCATTTTAGACAACCAAACTTGGCGCATTTGACGCTAAAGGTAGTTTGCACTGTTCTCTCTTGCTTGTTTGTAATAAATGTTCATTGATGATTCACATATAAAGATACAGTCGATTCACAACAGAATCACTCTTGGCTTAACCCTAACTAAATAAATTCATAATGAAATACAGTTTAAATATTTTATTATAAACTAAATCATAATTACTTTTCAGTATATTTGTCACTATCATACAAACTCTACTGAAATATAAGAATACTATACCAATGGTTTGTTTCAATATTTATCAAACTCTAAAACTACAAGTAACTCATGTTGTATTAACCTTGGTCACACTGGACCAAATGGTGTACAAGTCACAATCATCAGTTACAATATTTACCAAACTCTTAAACTACTAGTAACTCATGTTGTATTAACCTTGGTCACACTGGACCAGATGGTGTACAAGTCACAATCATCAGTTACAATATTTATCAAACTCTAAAACTACTAGTAACTCATGTTGTATTAACCTTGGCCACACTGGACCAGATGGTGTACAAGTCACAATCATCAGTTACAATATTTATTAAACTCAAAAACTACTAGTAACTCATGTTGTCTTAACCTTGGCCACACTGGACCAGATGGTGTACAAGTCACAACCATCAGTTACGATATTTATTAAACTGAAAAACTACTAGTAACTCATGTCGTATTAACCTTGGTCACACTGGACCAGATGGTGTACAAGTCATAATCATCAGATACAATATTTATCAAACTCTAAAACTACTAGGTAGGCGGCGAATTGACCCTTCTACCCGGTACAACTTTTTTCTATATAAATGGACCTAAAAAAGCTGAAACAGATTCACGAGGAATGGGATTGTGTTACATCGTGCAACAAGGTAAGTTGAATGGACCATGGGAGACTTTACGAGACTGAGCAACAGAGTGCAATTTTCAAACTAAGTTATGTCCAAACTCGGCTGTATAAAACTTGCACTGTCGGTTTTCGCAAACGATTTTTTTAATGCGTGCGTCCGAATCGGCCTTCAAAAGCTAAATCTCAAAGCCATTTGTTTTTAACTAATTTGACTTGTTTCAGTCTTTCGAAAGTCAAAGCGCTAAAAACGAGGTTTTGCCATTTTCAACTGCACGCGAGACACCCATGAAGGTATCTGATAACCTTAACGCTATACAGAATAGTGTGAACATAACGGACTTCAGGCTGGGCTTCCACAGGAAAGAATAGCCTACATTACTTGCACATGACACACCTGAAGGTATCTGGTAACCTTAACGCTATACAGAGTAGTGTGAACATAACAGACTTCAGGCTGGGCTTCCACAATAAAAAATAGCCTACATTACTTGCACATGAGACACACCTGAAGGTATCTGGTAACCTTAACGCTATACAGAGTAGTGTGAACATAACGGACTTCAGGCTGGGCTTCCACAGGAAAAAATAGCCTGCATTACTTGCACGTGTGACACACCTGAAGGTATCTGGTAACCTTAACGCTATACAGAGTAGTGTGAACATAACGGACTTCAGGCTGGGCTTCCACAATAAAAAATAGCCTACATTACTTGCACGTGTGACACACCTGAAGGTATCTGGTAACCCTAACGCTATACAGAGTAGTGTGAACATAACGGACTTCAGGCTGGGCTTCCACAGGAAAAAATAGCCTACATTACTTGCACGTGTGACACACCTGAAGGTATCTGGTAACCTTAACGCTGTACAGAGTGGTGTGAACATAACGGATTTCACGCTGGGCTTCCACAAGAAAAAATAGCCTACATTACTTGCACGTGTGACACACCTGAAGGTATCTGGTAACCTTAACGCTATACAGAGTGGTGTGAACATAACGGACTTCAGGTTGAGCTTCCACAAGAAAATATCCCGGTATCAAAGGAAACGTGTGTGATGTAGCTTGAACAGAACGATTTTCTGATCACGCGTGGCTGTAATTTAAGGCAGCAATAATTAGATTAATTTAGCTGGATTTGTGACTAACCATTTAATGAATGATAACTTAACGAAAGCGATATAGCGATCGGAGAACTATATTGAAACTAGAATGGTTACGAAACATTTCAGCTGGACCGAAGGAAAGTCGTTTTAATTTGCAAACAGAGAAAACATAAAATCGGTCCTAACTTGAAACATACATTTGTAGATTGACCATTTTGCATTTTTAATTAGAATCTTTATTTTTAAGGGTCGAAATTAAACCACATTTCTATTGTAGATCACATTTCATTTGATACTGGCATATGTTCCCGCGGACTGGAAAGCACATAATTCTTAGCTGTATTCTTTTATTGAATTAAAACCTTATGACACCCACTCTCTTTTCCATAGAAACTTACATCGAGTTCAATTAGGGATAATGATCTGCTTTCTATTAAAAGTTTGCTGAAGTCATATAGACGACTTTTACCTGTAGCACAATGGTTGCTGACCTTTAATCTCAGAGTAGTTAATGCGGTGTTTTTCATCAAGGTGTCGGAAAGGACTGGTAACCAGTCATCACTCACTTCTCTGCTACTGTTGAGTGTCAGATTGAATGTGGTAACTGATGTGTTATTTGCCAAACCTCGAAACACTCCAAAGTCGAGAAGAAACAGGGGTATATCTGATTTTCCATCACCACACTCATTTATTGTGACATTTAACGTAGTTATTGTCGTGTTCACTGACAGTCCATAATCTAAATTGATCAGCTGATTAATATAACCTGTTTCATCTGCCGCCGCAGTTATTGTTAGTGTCAGTGTAGTTACTGACGAGTTTAATGACAGACCTTGATTAAGAATATGCGACACACTTAAAAAAACCCTATCATTGGGGTCGTTAATAAAAATTGCGACACATAATGTATCTAATGACCTTGTTGTCTTCAAGCCGTCACAAAGGCCACTAAAAACGCAATGAAAGTCTGATTCACCCACGTTAAATGTGAGACTAAGTTCCTTAAGTGACGTGCATTTTATCAAACAGTCACCTACAACCTTATCCCAAAATGAATACATACTATCACTATGGACTGCAACAGTAAGGGAAGATAATGATTTGATTGCCGCTAGCACGTTACTCAGTTTAGTCGGACTCAAACAATTCCCCTGATTCTCCTCAACATAGTTAAGGCTGCTGAGTGTAGGAATCAAACTATCCTTCCGATTACACTCGCCGTCGCCGTTTAGTTTAAGACTGAGTGTAGTTAAAGATGCCATTTTGATCAAACGCTCACCCAGTTTGGATTCCCATCCTTCTTTCATGTTACTGAAGTTTAATGTGAGACTAAGAGATGTTAAAGAACTGCTTTGCAATAAACTATTCCCGAGGTTTTCTCCCAAATCTGCATCCACGACGCAGCTGTTGACTGTAAGATCAAGCGAGGTCAGAGATGGATTTTCTGCCAAAGCATCACCTAGACAACGTGTCCACTCCTTGGTAACGTTACTATCGTTATTGATTGTAAGACGGACGTTTTGTTTTCTTCTCTCCTTGACGTTAGTACAAAAGACTGTCAATGCCGTAGGATTATCGGTAGTGGTAACAAGAACATCGTTCGACTCCTCTGGGCCTATACGCACATCATGTATATTCAACTGAACGCGACTGTTTTTTGAAAGGCTGGAAGGAACATTACCTCCGTCTGTTGTCAACTCGCCCCATATATTGATGGAAAGGGAAGATAGTGTCTTGTTTTCCTCCAGACATCTTGCAATGGAACTAGAAACTTCGCTCGTCAATTTTCCATGCACGTTTAAGGTGAGAACAGTAATGGAGGAAGGTGCCAAGACTTCACAGAGAGCTTCTGCCGCTTCGCATTTCATCTCACCCCAGACGTTAACAGTTAAGTGTTGCTTTACATTTAACCCTTTCCTAACCAGAACAGGATGAAAATAATTATTTGCTACGTTGTTAAAGGTGTTTGGATAAATACAACAGCAAACGGGGGATTTTTTCGCCAAGCGAAGATTTTCCAGTACAGAATGCCAGTTACCAGGGAGCTCACAGTGGACACACAGTCTTATATTAATCAAAGAACTATTTTCCATAAGCCCTTTTTCCAGGAAACTGGCACTAGAGGAACTCAGCGGTCCACCAAAATGAAGATCAAGAGATTTTAAAACTGTTTGTCTTGCCAGTGCTTCACTAACAGCAGCTACTAACACATCCTGCATGCCTCCAACAATACAAAGAGAAACAGAATTCAAGGATTTACTTGACAAAAAATTTTGTAAGGCTCGTGTCGTAGTGTACTTCATTGAGCCACGTACCTCGAGATCAACAGACGTCAGCGGTCCCAATCCACTTTCAAGGGCATTAAAAAAACCCTCGCTATAAGCATGTCCAAACAAAGAAAACGTTGCTTTTGTCAGAGTTCGACAAGAAGCCAACCCGTGTACAATTTGAACCAGCAGGTCACTTTTCTCAGGGATGGCAAGATCTCTGAATTTAAGAGTAAACTCTGATAGACTCTTGGTCGCAGAAAGCCATTTGCAAAGACGATCTGTATCGGATGACGTCAAAGATTCCTCATCATTAACAACACTTACGATTGTCAGCTGCGGGCAGGATTCTATATAATTCAATACGCAATTCACTCCTTCCTCCAAAAGGTATGTATCAGCATAGAGTTTAACAGGGGTCTGTAGATTTGAAAAGCTCTTACAAGCCATTAAAACCTCAAGAAAAAAAGGATTGTGACCTTCATATGACTCAATGGTTATGACCTTTGGAAAAGGTTTAATTTTACATAAAGTAGCTGCCATTTGTTCAGGATGTCCACTTTCATTAAAGCTTTCAATAAAGAAAGTAGCTTCCTCCTTACTGCAATGCTCGTTCCAGTCCCAGTCATCTGTCTTTAACTCCTCGCCAATCTGGGTGAAAAGGACAGTTGCTTTCTCGCCCAGCATACCAGAAACAAAGATAAACACTTGTGGGTATTTCGTTACCAACTCGGCAAAGAGAAAGTGATCAAATACATTAAACTGTTCATTTACTAACTTCTCTGCGATATACGCTGCAGCCACGTACTCTTGGAAGGTCTTGTGAAGGAAGCAGTACTCATGTTCAGGCTTTAATCTCTTTAAACTTTCCTCCTTGTAAAGAAGGCCTAGTTCACGTGCTACCAATCCCGGGTATCTACTTTCAAACTCATCCAATTCAGATTCGCGGAAACCATAACGATCACTCAGCAGGCATAACCAAGCTAGCTCTCCAAGGGCAAGAATTTCCTTTTCAAATTTTCTCTCTAAGGCGATGTCATTCCTAGGGGCCGGTTGGTTGCGTTTGGCGCAGTATCGTCTCAAAAGACATTGCACAATGACTTGGTAAAGTTCCGTCCGGGAAGTCGGCAATTTTCCCTCGTAGTCCTCATAAACAACACAAAGGAGAAGTAAATTTAGCGGGTTATTTCGAAGTGCATGTAGAAAGGTGTTCTGTTGCATTTCCTCAATGAGCCTCTCCCCCTTTGGTGACTGACCAATGGTTTCAAAGTGTCTTCTGACATACGCAATAGAATCACTTTCCGTGTACCCTTTGATTTCTAAGTGAATGTCAAACACAAAGGTTTTTCGTGCTTCAATCCCTCTTTCTTGTCGTGTCGTAGCCAAGACATAGCAAAATGGAAAAATTCGTCTGTGAAGCAGCTCATCTACATGGTGCCGTGATTTTTCAGGCAGCTCATCCAAACCATCCAAAATGATAAAAATTCTCTCCTGGTTATGAATATCCTTCAAGAAGTGCAACAATTTCTCTACAATCTTCTCCTCAATATCTCTGGGCAGAAGTTGTTCTCTTATGGTATCCATTATATTTCCATCAATGTCTCGACATTTGAGGAGCAACACAACTTCAAACTTGGGAAAGGAACACTCTGTTGGGATTTTTTCATGTGTAGTGTCATAGGCAAGTTTAAGGCAAAACGTTGTTTTACCGATTCCTGGACTTCCTTCGACAAGCGTCATGACATCCTTACCTTTTTCAAGGGTCTTGAAGATTTCAGTCACGTTCACCTCGTCATTTCCACTCACTAAGTCTGGTTTTTGTCCCTCTACTAGCCTCATGACATCCTCAACTTTATCAGGAGCTTTGAAGACATCGAACACATTAAACTCATTATTCACGTCCACCCTCAAGTCTGGACTTCCCTGTGCTAGCGTTAGGACATCCGCACCTTTTTCAGGGGTCTTGAAGATTTCAGTCACGTTCACCTCGTCATTTCCACTCACTAAGTCTGGTTTTTGTCCCTCTACTAGCCTCATGACATCGCCAACTTTATCAGGAGCTTTAACGAAATCGAACACACTAAACTCGTCATTCACGTCCACCCTCAAGTCTGGACTTCCCTGTGCTAGCGTTAGGACATCCGCACTTTTTTCATGGGCTGTGACGTGGAACATATTCGCCATATTGGCTTCCATCTGGATGGCCAACTTTCTTCTTGAAATGATTTTCAGTCTCGTGTAAACGTTCTCAAGGGGTAACTCGATAGTGCTATCCCAAAGAAGTGGTCTTAACAGACAGCGCCTTTTGTATTCAGCTTTGAGCAGTTCAACAACAATCGAGTTGTCCCAACCTGCTGGAAACAAAAAGGTGAGGGAATATTTGTCAATAAACACAAACGTAAAGACTTGACATTCCAAACGGATTAATCTCACTGTGACATGCTTTTCTCTCCTCAGTAAGCAGAAACGCCGTGAATTATCCTTATTTTGCTTACAGATAAGTATGTTAATGTCTATACAAGTAAATGTTTTCGATGACATAAATTAAAATACCTTCTGGACAGAATACGCTTCACCGAGACAATGGTAACATTTGCGAAAAAGAAAATGCTATCAACGCTTACATTTTTATGAAAACTGTCTGGCATATACTCTCTGTAAAAACAATTCACTTTGAAGGTTCATTTCTTAAAAAAAAATAATGGACAAATCATTTGCGATCCAAAACAGAACTGAGATCACTCTCAATCTTGTGACAAGTGATTGGTTTGTGCATTACACTGCAAATACAAAGGGTAAGGAATGTGGTTCGATTTTCAGCAGCCTAGGCTCCCAAGCAGACTTTCCTAGGGCGTCACGAACCCCTTAGAAGGTCTCCGTAGGAGGCTGATCTCACTGACAAAAGGCTAGCGCTAAATAGTCAGTTTCTTACACTGAAAGTAACGTGATAAAAGCATAACCATGCAGTCTAGGCCTAAATGTGGCCTCGTTCTACTTGTACCTTACGCTAAGCATATCGTGTTACAAAGTAGGCTAGAAGTTTGGAGAGTGTGTCAGACGTGAGAATCTCAAGAAAGATTTTCTTTAAGTGTAACCGAGGCTACGAAACTATCGCTTCATCAGGATTTCCAACTAGAAAGGGAGACTTAAATAATAAAGCCACTGCCCCGTGCAGCAGAGGAAAGTAACCCAGATAAACGCTTTATTTCACGGGAAGTACTGTCACGCTCTTATTTCGTAAGCTATACAACTTGTGAAGCCGCATTTTAGAGACACGAGACCGATGACACAAGACCATCCCAAACTCTCTCATACACATATAATGCGACACCAACCCTTACTCTAAATAATCCAGAAACGAACTTTACCTTCCTCTTTCAACAGTTTCGGTTGTTTTGGAGCGGGAACAGCACATGAAGATAACGGCCTTTTGCCTTTTCTCAAAGACCTGGATCTCTTTGCTGTCTTTGCTGCGCCGGCGCCTACAATTAAATCAATTACCAACATTAAAGGGATTAAGTCACGAGTATATACCTCAGTTATTGGTACTTAATTTCGCGGTTTTCGCGATTGTGGAAAAATCGCGAAATTAAAGACCCGCGAATAAAAATCCCCGCGAGATTTAAACAAGCGAAATTTAATACCCATACAGAAAATTGAAATCACAGAAAGAAAAACAATTACAATATATACTCAAACACCGACAAATTATAAGCTGGTTAACTGGTAAGTTCCATTCCTTGACTGTGCCTTCTGTTGTAAATTAAAATAACGTTAATATGCGTTTTTCTTGTTTCATTTTATCTCGATATTTTAAAAAGTTCAGACGTTTGAAAAATAAAATCAGTTTGAGAACGCATTAATCGCAAAATCTAATGTCTTTTTTCATAATTGCCTAGCGAAATCGCGAAAATAAAACCCCGCGAAATACTGTCTTACCAAAATCGCGAAATTAACTTCTACTAAAGTAGCTCTCTTTTAGCTCAAATCTGTGCTGAAGTCATACTGAAACAAAATACTCCTGTAGTCTTATGAAGAAGATCAAACAATCTTCATCAACGAGCGCTAATCATAATAATATTTTCTTTTTACTTCTGAAGGCATAGCATTAAAACGTGTGAAAAAGTTGGCCCAATTTTTTCAAGTGTCGATCACCATCCGTAGTAACAACTTTTGTCCTGTTAACTGTGCCGAAGATATTTTGGCAATATATAAAATATTATTATACAAAAGAGTATTCTTAAAGCTAAATAAACTAATAAGAAATCCTGCTTACAGCTAAAAACAAAGACAATTATTGGAGGACAGATAGCCTAGCCATACTAAAACATTTCCAAGGCCCCCTACAGTCGTTACTTTGAGGGATTGCGAGGTTTTATGAACCACTTACTGAACTGCAGAAAAGTATATCCCTAATCAATCACTAGATTTCTGCTGTCGCGTATAAATTACGCGCCGGTGGAAATCCACCGTTAGGCTAGTAATTAGAAAAATTAAGCAAATAGACCAGACTGCCGTGACACAGCCCCTTTACAAGGCAGGGATAGAGCTCGCCTTTGAAGGTGTTAAGAGTGGCTGTCTGTAAGGATCGAGAATCGGCGGTCAGCGACCCATTTGGCGAATCCCTGATATTTTGCCCAAAGGTAGCCTTGGGTAGACTGTTTTCAAAAATCATATTCAAAAGTTCCAACGATTTTGTTTATTTGGGAAATTTGAGAAAAATTAAAAGTGCGGTCAAAATGCGGTCACAGTGCGGTTTTTTGGTTGATTAAAAGGTGCAATTATAAACCTCCGCCGAAGTCTTAAAATGAAATCAGTTGACCTCAAAATAAAAATAATTTCAAAGCAATCAATCTTCTACACTACCAATGTTTTAATCTTTTCAAATATGATAGTACAATGGTTTTTCATGCCATTTAGAAAACATTTTCGGAGATCGCTTTCGATGGCGGCAAAATGTAGCTAATATTCATCAGGATAAAAATGTTCCTGGTATGTCAGTTTTTAACAATTAAGCATTACAGAGCTAAAATATAGGTCTTAAAGATTTACCAAGTAAAGTTTCAAGGTCGAACTCGGAACGCTTCCCTTCGAAGGAATCGGAAGTCTGAGCAATATCAACGTGCAAAATGGCGCTGGATTTATAACAAACATCTAACATTATAGTTACAATCACTTGCGTTAAAATATCAAACTAAATTTACCTTTGACAATTTTAAGTTTAAGCATTGCAGAGCTAAAATATAGGTCTTGACGATTTACCAAGTAAAGTTTCAAGGTCTAACTCAGTAAGCTTCCTATGAGACAAGTCAGTTAACTTTGTAATATTAACGCGTAAAATTCACTACAAAGAAGTATCAGCGCTTGTCAACAAACATTAAAAAACAGGTTTCTCGTCCCGTTACTCGACCAAAAGGGCACTTTCCATATCTTCTTTCGTTTGAAATTCACAAGTCGTTTTAGATTAGGTTGCAATAAATACATTCGGCCACTCAGACCTATTAAATCAGTTTCAAAATACAGATCGGTTGAAAATAATTACTAAGCTAGCTCCCGCATATCTCAGTACTGCCTGGAATTTTTACTTTAGTTACTTGATCTTCCTAAAGCGCCCTATCCTGTAAATGCAACCTTGTATCCCGGGGGGCACTTGGGTATTTTTTGGTGGGTATGTGCCGCCTGGGACTCCAAATTGGCACCCCGTTCTAGAAAAAAAATTCCCCTAAAATTGATACCCCGTTCTAGAAATAGGACAATTTTTTATACCCCGTTCTAGAATTCGCCCTAAAACTAACACCCCGTTCTAGAAATGGGCCGATTTTTTATACTCCGTTCTAGGGTGCAACAAGAGTACAACGGTTTGCTTCTTAACGCACTGAACCGTATTTTAAAAGCAATCTGTCCTTGAATGCTTTCAAATGGCTACTTACAAAAGTGGAGAGCTTTCGTGCGTTCGAAATATTATACCCCGTTCTAGAAACCGCGTCTGAAATGGATACCCCGTTCTAAACCAGGAGCTTCAAAATCACGACCCCTTTGGGCGGCACATACCCGTATAGGTAATGTATGGGAGTACCCCCCCCCCGGGCCTTGTATCGATGTCTCAAGCGCTCAGGATGCGAGCAGTAAAGTACTCCAAATATTTTTAATACTTTCAACTCATGACTTTTCGTTGAATTGCACCGAAGTGAAAAGGAGCAAACAAAGTAATCCGAACCCAAACAAACAAAGAATGCACTAATTTGTCGCTATTGTAAAATTGGCACTGACACCATGAAACCGAAAACGAAATTTACGTTTACCTTATTCTTTTCTCCATTTTGTGCCCACCATTGCAAACTTTCTGTAAAAACACATCAGAGGCTTCAAAGTTCATATTCAGATCCATTTGTAGCGCTTCGAAATGCGTGCATGCTTGGCGCACAGGAAATTTTATCAGAAAGTCACGCAACCGTGCGCACGAGCACACCCGTCGCTATTGTGCAACAACATTTCGCAACAGTTTGAAAATACAGCGTTGGTCATATATCCTTGTTTAACTCAGTCTCTTCGTTTCTTGAATGGCTCACTGTAGCTACAAAGCGCTACTAGGTAAGGTCACCCCTTCCAAGGGCACACCTTGCGGTCAGTCCGCAGATTATCCTGGTCAGCTGGAATGTATTGCGCTCAAAGACTGAACAAAAGATGTAACTGGCCATTTGGAGACCTTATCGAACCTTAAACCTCAGCGCAGATGAGGGTTTGGGATCTGATTAAAAAGTTGCTGTTAGCCAGAGCAGGTAAATTTTATCCCAAAATATTATATTTTTGTCTTTTTATCAGCTATATTATTTTTTTAATCATACGTTGTTCTTTTTATCATCATGCACTTGAGGGTGGTTATTCTCAACACATCATTCTCCTTTTAGGGGTTTTCTCAGTGGAAGAACATCACTATGCCTTGAGCATTTGTCCAAGGCACAGGGCTGATTTCGGCATCCGCTGGAGGACAGGGAAGACCATGTGTACAGTGCCCAAAGAATTAGCGGTACATAAATCTACAACTGCTAAAGGGAGCCACCGAGTGGATAGCTTGAAGTCGGCGTTTATTTTCAAAAACACGAACACAGTTATTCCAGTTGGATCACGTAAGTTGCAGACTTTTCTGCGAAGATTGGTTAGATAATGGTAATTTTTTACGGTTAAGAATCACATATAAGGTGGCACACAAGGCGAGGAGTTTGCTAGCACTCTATTAAAGAAACAGTAAGAAATTTCCACGAGACAGTGACAAGAGAGGAGAGAGCGTGCAAGGAGAGGGAAAGGCGTTTTTAAGATGTACTAATTATCACGTGTCCCTTTTTTGTATTACGCAGGGGTCATTTTTGCCTTGGGGGTGCGGGTAATCCTAGCACACCTTGCGGTCCTCATTCAAAATTATTGGTCTTGCGGGCAGGAAGTTGTCTTCTTTCTATGTATGTTTTAAATACATTTTTTTATACAGTATATTGACATTAATTTCTGTTCGTCTGTTCATTTTGTTTTGCCATTTAAAGCAATTTGTAAACAATGCAACGAGTATATCAGCAAAGAGGCCATGCCAAACCAAACTCTAGTCTTTGCTTCAGGTGGGGTGGAGCCCGTCCCCGAGGTCTCACACCTGCAAGAGTTACCCGAGCCCCATTTGTTGGTAAGTAGTAATAAGAAACACTAGTGTAAATGGTTCGTTTAAGTGGCTACTTTAACGATGGTATGAAATGTTTTACTTTCAAAAAAACATTCATCATTCATTCTTTCATTTCATTTTTAATCCTTTTTTACTTTAGGGGATTTCTTTTCATTTCTTTCTCTCCTTCTTAACGGGTTTGTGTGGGTGTTGGCTTATGAATAAAATAAAACAAAATAAGCGTTTTATCATGCTTTATAGTCATTACACAATATATTTGTTTGAACTGTTTCAGGTAGAGGAGGAAACAGGCCGTTCAAGTGCAGAAACAACTAGTCGTGAGTTATCGTCTGATGACCTTGCAACTGAACTGAAGAGGCTGGAGATATCGTCAAGAGAGCGAGATGATGAGACGTTCCTAAGTCCGGATACTGGAAGTCTTGTTTCTTCCATGAGAGACGAGGCCCCAACCACTATGCAAGAACCTCGCAAAAAGTTGAACGAATATCTGGTTTCGAAGAACATCCCGCCAATAACTCAGCCCTGGATGGAATGGGATAAAGCTGGAGAGGGCACTAAGAAGAGATACACCAAAAGGACAGTGGAGATCTTTTCTTCAGTCCTACAAGATCTTACACCTAATTATGCAGGTTCTCTTTGGCTAGCGGTCGTCTCGTCCCCTGCCATGAACAAAGCTCTTAAACTCGATGAATTATCACAAACGTCCAAGAATTATCTTCAGGCCTTAGCAGAGGCATATGGTAAAGCTTAAGGGTGGGATACAAGAAGGCAGATCTTGTCTATGATGTCAAGCGTTGCCAGCTTCAATGATACTTCAAGATTTATACCAGGCTTAACTAGATATCGCTATAGCTTGGTCAACCTGCATCGCTTACAGTACGGTAGCGGGGCTCCCACAACGCTCCACCCTTCGCCGAGGATAAAGGCGCTTGCAAGCTTGACGCCGAGGTTGTGGTCAGGGAAATGCGACGCGCCCGTGGAGCAGATGGTGTGCAACTTTACCAGTCCTCAGAGTTCCTAACCAGCTTGCAGATTGCGTCCTTCTTCTCAAGGAAAAGCGCTACACTACGAGAAAAGCCGATATGCGGGCATCTCAAGAGGAAGCTAACTTTAGTGCAGCGAAGGAGGTCGTTGAAACCATTCAGTTCAACCATCCTCTGGTATACGATCAGTATAACCTGTGTGAGATGGCGCTCAGTGGTAACTTGAAAGTCCTCAAGCTGCCGATGCTTCAGCGCTTGTGCGAGGATCTCTGCCTTGATGCACCTGTCCCGCATGTGCGCAAGAAGGCTCCATACTTGGCACTCTTAGAGGAAATAACCAAAAAGTGCACATGCCGAAAGTAACTCTTTTATTAATAGCTTCCTGGAAGTGTTTTAGCGGCAACCAGTTTGATAAAACGGGTTGAAAACGGGGAGAAGGGGTACTCCCTCAAAAAATTGCCAAGGTTCTAGTTGTACCTTTTACAACCTAGTTCCCAGGTTCCCTCTCTTAGGTTGGTACCTATCGCCTAGGGTTTAAAATTCTAAAACGACCGCAGCTGTAGCAGCACCTATGAAAATGAAGGGAACTGTTTTGGGGTTTGAACTAAAGCCGCTTACGTAATGAGAATATTGCGATCAGAGCCGCCTCGACAGGAAGTAAGAGACTACCTCCTCCTCCCCAAGTCTGAGAGTCAATGACAAAACAAAACAAAAACAAAAAACAATATCAAAGAAAGCTCCCCTACCGGAATGTAGTAATGAAATTTATTTTATAACTGCGTTTAGCAAGACCTAAAACAAAGATCTTACTTTGAAAAATACCCTGCGAAAAATTTTTACTTCTAAACGTACTCCTTCCCCACCCCCATCCTGATAACAGGTCAAAACGTTTATCCCGCGGGTGGTAAGTTATTGTTATTGCTGTTGTTTTTTTTAATATTATTATTCCTACCGGAGCCTCAAAATAATACTTCGTTTTAGAAAAATACTAATTTGAGCAAAATTAACTTGTTTAAGTTTCTAGACCACGCTGGATGGGTGGGAGAGGGCAACTGAAATTGCGTTACATGTACTGGACTCGAATATCAACGCACGGTTTATTCTGACAGATGCCGTTTGTTTCGATTTCTTGACACATGTACGCTTCACGTGTTTCAGATACTAAAAACAAAAACCGTTTGAAATTGTGAAAACTAACGTGGATTCAAACTCTCCCTGTAATGGAAAATGGCTTTCCGCAACGTTGTTTCTGCCTTTATGATTAAATACCGCCTATATCTATAATGTGGCACTTTGCCGGTTATTACTATTGTCGCGGTAATAACTATTTTCAACGGTCTTTCCAGCAAACTACCTTCGTTTTTTTTTAAAGTCACACGATTACTATTTCATTCAAGAAAGCTGGCAGAACGATAAATATCTAGGAAAACGTCCTGGGTGGATAGTTTGACACAAAGGCGGCTAGTTTAACTGATTTATCACGTTTGTTTACATTACCTTGCGATAACCAAAGCGGACTATCTACATCAAACTGATCTGTTCAAAGCATTGGATGTGTCTCCTATGAGCTCTTGGATATTTTTATAAGCGGCAAACTTAAAATTGTCAAAGGTAAATTTAGTTTGATATTTTAACGCAAGTGATTGTAACTATAATGTTAGATGCATAGGATGTATGTTATAAAGCCAGCGCCATTTTGCACGTTGATATTGCTCAGACTTTCGATTCCTTCGAAGGGAAGCGTTCCGAGTTCGACCTTGAAACTTTACTTGGTAAATCTTTAAGACCTATATTTTAGCTCTGTAATGCTTAATTGTTAAAAACTGACATACCAGGAACATTTTTATCCTGATGAATATTAGCTACATTTTGCCGCCATGGAAAGAGGTCTCTGAAGATGTTTTCTAAATGGCCTGAAAAACCATTGTATTATCATATTTGAAAAGATTAAAACATTGGTAGAGTAGAAGATTTCTTGCTTTGAAATTATTTTTATTTTGAGGTCAACTGATTTCATTTTAAGACTTCGGCGGAGGTTTATACCGTATTTATTCGATTAACCGCCCTGGGCGCTTATTAAATTTTTGGACCTTGAGAGTGGGCGCTTATTCGAGGTGGGCGCTTATTCGAGGCTGGGCGCTTATTAAATTTTCACCATTTTCAGCAAGTGAAGTATGTTTATTTTGCAACAAAACAATAAATGCTAATAACAAAACGCGAAGAAGTAACAAAGCAAGGCTTCTGTAAAATACTCTGAAGAAAACTCCGTCCTCGGGGAAGTCTCTCATTAAAATTTATTCACTCAAGTGGGTGGGGTGGGGGTGAGCGCTTATTTGAGTTTGATTGGGAGGAGGAGGGGGTGGGCGCTTATTCGAGGCTGGGCGCTTATTAACTTTTTCTGCCTTTAGGATGGGCGCTTATTCGAGGTGGGCGCTAATTCGAGGTTGGGCGCTTATTCGAATAAATACGGTAATCGCACCTTTTGATCAACCAAAAAACCGCACTTGGACCGCATTTTGACTGCACTTTTAATTTTTCTCAAATTTCCCAAATAAACAAAATCGTTGGAACTTTTGAATATGATTTTTGAAAACAGTCTACCCAAGACTAACTTTGGGCAAAATATCAGGGATTCGCCAAATGGGTCGCTGACCGCCGATTCTCGATCCTTACAGACAGCCACTCTTAAGAAATATTTCAAGTCTCTTTAGCAACTGCATCGCTTAGTGGAGGTGGGTGCCTGTTTTGTCCAGGGGCTTCCACTTCTGGCAAAGCCAGCCCCTGGTTAGCCTGTTCCAAGCATTCAGATAGTAGAGCGCGGTAAAAAAATTGACGAGGAAAAAAAACGGACTAGAGAGACTAGAGAGGAAAAAGGGAGGGAACTCGCCCCACACTCCCCTCGTTTTTTCCCCCTCGTTTTCTCCGCGTACGATTTAACACGCTCCCCATCATCCGAACACCGCACTCTACTAACTGAACGTCTGGAACAGGCGAGCCCCTGGTAAACCCGCGCCTTCCAGCCATGAGCTCCCACGCCAATGGGACCAGGCACCTGTCACACTGATTCATCAGAGGAAAAATAAAGGGGGGGGGAGGGATGGGGGTAAAAGAATGAAAAGAATGATCCAAAGGCCAAACAAAGAGAGAGGCCGCCGGGAAACGCTGTAGATATGGAGATGGAGATGATGCAAGCAAGGCTGACCGCTCTTGAGCCACCATGCACTGACCGCTGACCGACAACACGTAACCGCTCTCCTTGTTGTTAACTGCGTTAAATTTCATTTAACTTCATTTATAAAACCTGAAACGAGTCGTATTTGTCGACAACTGGCGAAGGTAATCTGTCACAATGATAACGAATTTTGACTCCTTTTAAACGAGTCTTGTTCAGTGCTTTTTATCATTCCTTGTTACATTACCATCCTGGCAAGGAATACTTAATAAGCTCTCGTTAGAGTACAGTACATTTTCTACAAGAAAAGCAACGATTTGATCTTCATTGTTCATCTACGATTAAAGAATACCTTTGTGAAGACGTTTTTCAGAAGAAGGGGGTTTTTCAACTTGACAGATGACAGCGGTTTTCTTAGATGAATTCTGCTCATCTGTATTGGGACCTACAAAAAGTGTAGTAACACAGTTTTATTATTCTTCACTTCAAAGCATCAGGAACGGTACAGTTGTTACTAATTATTACTATTTAAACATCGTCAATTATAAAAAATAACAAGGAAATTAACTGTCTTAAATCGCGGTCGGCACTGTTTCCTGAAAATGAACTTTTGACGCAACAACAAACAACCAAATGCCCTGGAACGACTGTAATTTTTAAATTTCAAAAATTTTCTGTACTTTTTAAGGAAAATTTTGCAAGCCTAATCCAATCTAATATCCAATCTATCAGGCTTACAAGTGAGGTAAAATTTACGATGATTCTTACTGTTTCTGCTAAGAGAGACTATTGCTTTTGGACTGTTACTACAGTAAGTAGCTGAAGTAACCACATTTAAAAGTTAACGGCAGTAGGGACGTCACGAGAAAAGTAAAACTAAGAGATTAAGTTTGCGTTCTTTCAAAGTTTTCGCGAATTTTTCCAGCTCTCTCAATTTGTCAAACGTGGGTGGACTTCTTTGGGTAGGGATCTCATCCTAAGTTCAGAAAGAGAAAAGATAATTTGATATTGAGAGGTTTTCATCACTGTTGTCATTATAGTTCAGTGAATGACCTTACATAAATTTCCTAAGGCCAACAGTACACAACACAAAGACCAATTATTTGAATTACATTGAATTATTATACATTGCACACAGTAGCTGTCTTCTTATTTGCTAAGAGCCTACAGTTAATTTTAGAAATCAGCGCAACCTACAGATTAGTTAGTTATCTGCTATCAGATTAGCGACTTCTGTAGGTTATTGCGCGCACAATGCATGATTTAAGGCGATGCTGTGTCTGTCCTTATTTTCTTCAAAACAATTTATAATAAAACAATTATTAGATTCGGTTTTCGTGGTATCCGGGATAATTAAGGTCTTGGTAAGTGTTATCAGCCTTGGTTTTTAGTTCGGCTGATAGCACTTTTCTCGAGCTTGATTATGCCGGATACCACAAAAACCAGTTTACAATGTAAACATGTTACCTTGAGAAATGGCAAGCATTCGTTCTACAAGTCTATTACAGTGATCCAGCCAGCTGTACATCTCTGAATATTCTCCTCGAAGAACTTTAGACTCCCTTAGTCGCAGCTTCCTGTTTTTCTTCCGAACAGCTTTGATTGCACTGGCCCAATCTTTAGGATCTTCCGATTCCACCACACAACTTGAACCATACGGAACTTCCTTTAAGGCCTCGCCAAGACCAGAGTTCCCACTGACAAGCACAGGCAGACCAGCAGATAAAGCCTCAAGGGCGGCTAGCCCAAATCCCTCAGTTCGTGATGGCATTACAGCAAGATCAACTTCACAAAACAAACGGGCTAAGTGCTCTCTACTTTCATTAAAACAACGCACAGTTAGTTGACTGCGGTCGATGCCTTGATGGAGTAACAAATCTTTCACTTTCTCCTCTTCTCCACTTGGAGCTCCAACAAACAAGAGCTTATAGGGCTGTGGCTCGTCTTTCAACTCTGCAATAGCACGAGCAGCAATGTCATAACCTTTCAGCTGAAAGTCTTCATTGTCACCACGTCCAAACACTAAAACACTGAATGTTTTTCTTTCTTCAGTGGCTTGCTTTACATCAGAAAACTCTGAGAAGATGCCTGGGGTAATGTTGAGAACATCTTGATCTTTTCCACAGGCACGGAGATAACCTGAGAAAGCTTCAGCCAGCTTGGGACCAACTGCTACAACTTGATCAGCTTTTTCACAGAGTTTTACCTCAGCCTGGTGCTTTTTCTCACCTTTTGAAATAGCATCTGCGTAGGACTTGTACATACCAAGCTCTTCAGGAGCCGTATGAACGACCTGAATCCACTGGCACTTACACTGACGTTTTATACCCTGCACTTGCCGACCAAGAACAGCCCCATGTCCTATCACACAATCGACAGAATGGCTTTCAGGAAGAAAGGACAACCAGTCTACTGGGTTGTCATAACCTGGCATTTCTTCTGCTTCAATAAGATGTACATTGTGACTTGCAGCAACTCGTTTATCCTCTTCACTGCACTGAGGGAGATAAACACTGACATCCACGCTGGGGTGTTTTGCCAACTGAATGGCCAGCTCTCGGTTGATGGTTGACAAGCCTCCTTTTGTTGATCTCCATTCACTGCTTAACAGAGTTACTCTCAATTTCCTTGAGGAAGTGGATTCTGAATTGCTCTCATGGTCTTCCTGTGATGTAGAGGCTGTGCTAGGAAAGGATGACAATTCCTAAAAGAAGAGTGACATTAATTTTTTAAAGGGTTTATTAAAAAGTTAACCTGAGATCAGGCTCAATTTTAGCAGTTCTCATACATTCTCACCTACGTAGTCCCGCTAAAATTCACTTTTCGTTTCGCCTTGCCCGCCGGAATGTTATTTACAAAGAGAAACGAAAACAGAGCCTGATCTCAGGTTATTTAAACATTTTTAATACAGTCTAAACTCTCCTTACGGACACCTCTGTAAAGCGGACAGTTGGTTCTGTCCCTTTGGTGTCCGTATTAAAGAGGTTTGACTGAAGTAAGTTCTAACAAACTTTAATTGAGCATTGTCTTCTACTGCTTTTCTGTCAGCGAGTGCACTTGAAAAAACTGACTAGAAAAACATGCCGGACATTTTTTGAGATTGGGCTACCTGTGGTGTCTCATATATATGTATTCTCAGTTTTCACATGACGTCACCAAAAATTCAAATTAAGAAACCATCGATTCTTCTGAGTTTCATGAGGCATTACAGCACCTAAACACCTTTATTTAAACAAAGTTTTGGTTCGAAAGGGTTCTTCATTTTGCGATAGAGGACGTTTAAATTTCTAGGCTTTTGCGTCACGCGGCATTTAGCTGGCGGCCGGGAAGGCTCTTATGTGGGTTAAAAACATTACCAATTTTAGGAGATTTTGCTATCTACACATTGCTCGTCTCAGAATAAATATCACTTTAATCCTTATGACTTTCTCAAGCGATGAATTCATGCACTAGTAGGAAAACTCAAAAACAGATGTTTCTGTTGGTTTCCGGCAGCCATATTTGTGCCCCTCCAAGGGACACAAACATGGCGTCTCCATACAAAGCTTTATAAATTTAGGTAAAACGTTTCTCCTAGATTCTCGACTTTCGGTATTGAATGGTTTGCAATTTTACTTTTGACTGCATGACACTGAAAACCCCGCGATACCATAAATCCTCTATTAACCCCGCACCCCCTGCCAAATAAGCCCCCCCCCCGCCTTTCAGGGGAAGAAAGTTATTAAGCCCCCGCTCTCTTTTAAGCCTCCCCCTCCCCTCCCTTCCCCTCCCCTTTTATTCTTAAATGATAGACTGTATTAATTAATTATGTACTGTAACACATGACATGGACTGGTCCAGTATGATTTATTCATATGATTGAAAGGGAGGGGGACAGAGACAACTTACAGGGTGAAAGGTCAAACATGATGCACGTTACTAAGAGGGTTTCAACAGTGCAGTACGCATGTACCACACTATGAGGTGTGAACTACTGTACATGTACGTAAACTTCTAATTTAATGATATGAAATGAATAAAATGATCACTTAGTGAAAATGCTTTAATTGTTAATCAAATTCTTTTAACTATATGTAATTCTTTTAACCCTTTGAAGTCTAATATCAAAATTCAAATTCTCATTTGTTGTCCCTATTTGTTTTCAATAGAAGTAGTGGGGAGAATTTGTTGAAGTATCAATTAGATTCATCTTGTGTGATCAGGTCCTCAATTCTCATGACCACTGTGTTTTATAAAGAAGTGATACTACAAGGAGAAATTTGATGCTGATCACTCTTAGGGCTTAAAGGGTTAAGGAATGCATTGAGATCAGTCTGGAGAATTTGTATGTGGATACTGGTGCTTAAAGGGTTGAAACAAGCCATTGAAGCCCACACAGCAACAGCAATTATCTTGGTTTGAGTATCGTGAATTGCTAAGAACTATTCACAGCCCAACTTCCCCCACCCCACCCTGGATGGGATACTAGTCCATCACAGCATTGCTCCCAATGGTATGTAGCCAGTTTAAAAAAGAATACACAAAATTAAAGACCTGTGAGAGGATAGGCAAAGTGACAAATAGTTTCTTGACTAAGATCAAAGTGGATGTGAGCCGCAAAACTTGGAAAAAATTATGTTGTTAGTAAAATCTATATTAGATTTTTAATAAGTCTGATAATGATACCTTTTTACCAGATATTTAGAATTTAAAGCTCATAAAGAAATACTAATACAGGGTGCACCAACACCTCTGTCTGATTGTCCCGGACAGGTAGAAATTATTATTTTGGTTTGGACATGTAAACCTCTGACATGAATATTGTACTTGGGACAAGCACATTTTTAAGTAGAAAAAATACAGAGACATTTTTTAAATAAATTGACTTCAAATTACAGTAGAATCGAAATTTATCTTAATCATAAAAGCAATTCTCATACTTGACAAAATAAGGGTAAATATTCCTTTTAGCTTTGCTATAATGGGGCCATTCCATTTCTTTTTATGAGCTCCACTTGGCTTAAGAACCTGACAAAACGTTTTGGACAAGAAATCTTGGATTTTGGACAACCAAATTTAATCCAGTGCTTATCTGAGGGACAAGTGGACAAGACAATTACAATTCAATTTTTTTTGCTTAAGTCTATTACCCCCTTTAAAAAATAATAAAGTTAAATTTATTATATTTTTGAAAAACTATGTATTCCTGTAGTTCACACAATCTCTTGAGATCATGACACTAGTTGTTCTGTAGTTTTCTATGAAATAATTCTTTGACGTCATAGATCACGTTTCATATTTTACATGTTACAGATCATGCCTGTTGAATAAAAGGAGAAAACACAAAACGACAGAAAAAATACTCAGAATACATTTATAGGTGTATTATTATCTGTCTTAAAATTTGTGCTTGGTAACGTACGAAAGGAATGTTTAATTATGCATTATTAGAATCACCGACAATTTATTTAGTATTGCTTTTGAACTATTTTGTAGTGAAATTGATCTTTAGCATGAAAACTTTAAACCGTCGACAAGGACATGTATGTTTCTGCACATTTTGGGTAAACAGTATTAATCTATCACACACACAACTGAAATTAGTCATGATGTCTTGATGATATGTCATCATTAACAAATGCATTGTTTCTTGTCTCCATATATGGAAAATGGTTCCCTTGGGAGTTTACAGATGGACACATACACTGGGTCATGGGGGGACTTCCATGTTTGGTTCAATCAGTAAATTTTTGGACCGCTCTGCATGATAGAGGTTTATGGGATCTTTAATCTTAAAAAAAATATTCAATTTCACTATTAACCATCATAAACAGAGTTGCCATTTGAATACATTTTGCCTTAAACAAGGTCAGAATTGAAGGGTTTTAGCAGCAGAGACCCAACCAAACTTCCTTTAATCCCCCCACCCCACCCAACGGGAAAAGTTTCTTCGCTTATGCATAATGATAACCCAGCAAAATCAGCTTTGCTGGTTTTTTTCAGAGTTGAATAAAAATCAAGAGATGGAACAGAGGAGGCTCAAATCAGACCTCTCCTGTTCCAGAGTCTGACATGATTAACATCCCTCCACCAACAGTCACAAACACAACTAGAACTTCTCACACCTCAAACCTTACAACTTGTAAGATACCAAGAAAATTAACCTTCTGTTCATTTGACCAACACTATAGCTAACAGATCGGGATAATGACTTTTTCTTACCTCCATCAGCCTGGACATCACAGGAATCCTAAAAATCGTTTAACACCGCAGACACGATCACTACAACATTGGAAAAGACAAAGAAAGTACCATGTAGTAAATAATATATAATAAATGTTGTCAAGTACCATTTTGACACTTTCTTTTTGTGGGAGTTTGATTTTTGCAATAAAATTTGTGGATTGGTGATTTTTTGTAATTTGCAATAACTAATTTTTGGGATTGGTCCAGTCTGGTTTCTCTCCTTCTAAATCTTAACAACTGCATTATATTTTTTATTTGAGTCAAAATACAGGTAAACCAACATTTGAAAATGTTGTGGGTAAAATCTGTTCTCAGGGTAAACCAGAATTTCACTGTCTCCTACACACTGTCTGTATGATTAATACGGGCTAAGAAAGAAAGGAAATTCTGAACCAAACTAGGTTTAAAATAATATTATAGTCCTGGCCCCGGTTGTTCAAACAATGGATAGTGCTATAGATGAATTTCTATCCAGTGGATAGAGATTTATCCAGTGGATAGAGTTATCTACCTTTTGAACAACTGGGGCCAGGTTTAACCAGAGAACAGATTTCACATACAACAAAATAAATACTGTATTATATTTCTAAGTTATTACAGTTGTGGAGGACACATTTTTTTCAGCAATGTGTTTACTAGGGAGGGGGGAGTGGGGGGTGGTCAGGTTTACTTATTACAGTCGTGTGTGGATCTTGATGGAAACCACAAAAATTTCAAAAACCACCAAAATAAAAACCCAAAAGGTAAGATCTAAATAAAGTAGTGATAAGTGGGCTGGCACTTTCAGGGTAACTTAATTTGCATTACAACTACATATAAACAATCTAATTGACCACTCCAGAAAATACCATAACATACCATAATACTCTTTGTTTGTCATCCCAAAATTTTGCAAAAGCATTGTTTTCAGTTTCTCTTGGGGGCCATTTTAACTCCCAAGAGAAACTGAAGACAATGCTTATGCAAAATTTTGGGGTGACAAACAAAGAGTATTATGGTATGTTATGGTGTTTCTGGAGTGGTCAATTCTTTTTAAAGGTGAATTTTTCACAAGAATAACTTCTTTCCATTCCAACTTTCTGAGCATTAATGCTTTTTTCAAAAGAGTATTTATTCCATGGGTATGCTGACAGAAGAAGGGGAGTCCTGGTCTCCACTGTCTGGAGGATAATGAGGTGTACATTCCCCAGGGGGGAGGGGTAGACATCCCTCATTTATTTAGCCTAAACAGGCATGTTCTGCTGAACAGGGTAGGGTTTACGGGAGTCTTACATGTACATCTTAAACAAGTAATAAAATTTCACTATTTAGCATCTTGAACAGGGTGTCTTTTATTAAACTTGAACTTTAAGTCATGGTCTGTGTAAAAACTAGGCAGGCAGATGGCAAAAATATCGATTAAAGTTGTTAACTTTTAATCATTAATTTCAATTAAATCAAGGGTTCTGATTGACCGAAATTAAAAAATTGCCAAACAAACAGCGAGAAACGTGACAAAAACAACATTTTTAGCTTTATTTTCCCCATTCTTCTATCGTTTACCTCTCGACACGGCCAAGTTTAAGCATTGTTCTATGCGCCAATCAAAAGTAAGAGTGGAAAACGCGCCACACGCGCGTGACCTTGTTGTAAACCATCTTGGATATGATATTTGAGATATGAGGAAATTTTTCTTTTACCTGAAGAAATATAGTCAATTTCATCGCTTAAATCTACAGTACATATTTCCCTTTATTGATTGTTTATTGCTTTTATTCAATGTATTTTATCATTGGAGTGATCGTGAAAGTGCTACTGCAGCAGCGTTTGCAGTAACATGTTGTCGAGTAGCCATGTGGACAAGTAGGACTGAAGCAGTTGTTTATGTTGTCAAGAGGAGATCGCTTTGATTCAGTGATGATTCAGAGTAATTGTGGAAAATAGCTGGGCACAAAGAGTAGAAGCCATAGATTTGTTCTTTATACAGAAATAAAGTAAATTTCTTAAAGCGATGTGAAGCCGCCTGAGTGAGCTTGAGGTAAGCTGAACCCAATAAATTTTTGCATCTCCGCATGATGTGACTGTGTTGTTACTTTGTCCTTTTCGAAATGTCAGTATTCTGTGTATCTTTACTCTTCTTTAATTCGATTTGTTTTCTTTCTCGACTGTTTCATTGAACTAAGTGCAACTTAAGACGAATGAATTGAAATTTGTGATTGTAATTTCGCAACAGTTGTAAGACGGCAGCCGATTAGTTATCATTTATAATACAAATGTAGTTCTCACTAGTTTTGAGTGTTACCCAGGATGCAAGATCATGCAAGTTTGACTGTAACTGTTGCCTTTACTTTTTCTAAGAACGAAAGTAGGTTTTGTGGAGATATTTAGACTAAAAATATATCTACCATGTAAGACTGCGAAGAGAGCTTCTTCTGAAACCGAATTCTCCGAACATCTGTCAATTTTTTTCTGTACGGACAATCGTCTTTTTCTTTAAATGCGGGCCATTAGGATAACCCTTCGACATGATTTGATGAAATTGTTGTTCCTTATGGTGGCAAAATAAAACACGTGGCTTTGGCACATTCGCCATGTGAGCTTGAAGAACTGCTGTTTCCGATCACGGTTTTGTCATTTCCTTTGTGAGAACCGAAGTAACTGTCTTTCACAAGGTCGCTGATTGATATATTCCTGTGCCATTTTCATGTAATTTTATATCAGTTTAACTTTGCTTGGGTTTGGCCATAGAAACCCTCTAAATTTTATGTTATATTTTTCAACATACAAAGCAGTAAACAAAATAAAAAGTTGTTTGAATGACTCTTTTGCTATCTTAATTCATTTCTAAAATTCAAACTTTGCGCTTTTTGCCCTCTTGACCAATCAGAGCATTCAAATTTAATTTGATTAGAGAAATTAGCACCTAAAAAATAACTGCCGCTATTGCTCTGGCCTATTGTTCTTTTGCCTAGTTCTTACACGGACCCTTACTTAAACAGGGTGTGAATATTTGGAGATCCACAGTCTACAAGTGTGATTCCATTATTATTATTATTATAATCTAATCCCCTGATGCCAGTTTAAGGAAATGGATCAGGGTCATGAAATGAGTTTTCTTATCTTAAACAGGGAAGTGAAGAGAATAGTTTTTTGTTTAAGTAGGATAAAGGCCTTTTGGCAACAAACCCCTACCATTCAGTGGTCCCCCTCCCATCCCCACCACCCCAGGGAATTTTAATACTGTAAGACTAAACATTTCTTCTGCAGTAATAAAATTCTGATTGTGACAAAATTATCAAATAATTCAAAATAGCTTACCAAAGCTTGGTACATGGATTCTTGACCTCTGAAACCCACACATCATGAAATTGGAACTGATTGGTAGCAGGAACCTTCATAATAAAATTAAGGGCAATGCATAAAGACAAAGAGCAGTTCGCTTAGTTACATATAATTATTACTTTCATAGAGCCAGTGCTGCTGCACTGCCTGGCTGATGGTACTGTCACTCACCAGTCAATAAACCTCCCCCCTCTCCCACACTCCGCCAAGATATCCATGTACTATAGCACTAGGGCATTTGACTGGTAGGCGTTGCAAATGTGACTCCAGGAATTCAAAAAGAAAAAGTATTTGTATTTGTAACACCTTCTTTGAGTTACTTCAATTCTATGATAGTTTGTAGCTTCATGCTTGTATCATGTACAGTGTACAGGACTGAATAAGTTCCCCCTCCCCCAGGGCTGGGGATACTCTGGATTTCAAGTGACAGGGATGATCGAATGGGGGCAAAAGTCAAAACCCAAAAAAATCCTTAGGGCTTCCAACAAAATACCCAAAAAATCTCTGGACCAAAAATTAACCCCAAAAAATCCCATGCCAAATTTCTAAGCCTTAAAATTTTCAGCAGGCTTTAAAATAAAATGATATAACTCGAAAAATATGAACAATAGAAATTGAATGTTTGTGTTTGTTTATTCATCATACAATCTGAATCTTCAGATTGTTTTGAATACCCAAAAAATCCCTTCTTAATCCTTTAAGTCCCAATAGTGATCAACACCAATTTTCTCCTAAGGATATTCATAGATTGCCAAGAAAAATGGTTATGAAAATTAATAAAATGATCACCAAAGAGAAAATGCCTTGGTCGTTTATCAAATTCTCTTTACTTATTCTTTATGGAAATGTATAGAGACCAGTTTGGAGAATTGGTATGTGGGTATTGGGGCTTAAAGGGTTAAATCAAGCTCCCAGAAAAAATGCTTGCTAATTTTTTCTACCAGAGTTTGAGCTAGGATTTGATCACTGGGAGACAATTTGTCCCCTTGGCTAAAATTTTGGGGGACATTTTCATTTTTAGGGGGACAGAAATTTGTACACCCTTCCTTCTTAGCAGGGCTTCTGATAGGTCTCGGACGAAAAAGTCAAATTTTGTGGGATTTTTAGGGACAAATTCACGGAAAAATCGGCCGATTTCACGGGGGTTTTCGGGGCAAACTTCACCGAAAAGCAATCGGTAAAAAATGGCCGATTTTGTGGTTATTTTCAAGGCAAATTTCGCTAGAAATCAATTGGTTTTGCGCTGATCAGACCAGCCTTTTTAACGTTTTTCTAACAGAGGTCATCATTTGCTCTTTCAACAACAATACGCTCCAGAAATGAACCAATGGCAAAGCCTTTAACATGATGGCTAGTGCCCAGTTTTTCGCAACCTAATCTGTTTGCACGTTTCAGTGACGAAGTTCCAAGATAAATTTGCAAGTTTACAGCAAGTAAATAGCCCCTATAGCTGAAATAAGTTTCAAATATGTTGTACAGACATGTATTTGATAACATTTCTACCAAATTTCGTGGCTCCGCGACCGCACGAAAAATCAGAAGCCCTGTCTTAGATTTCCAACAAAAACAGCAGTAGAGCGTGACTGAAACGTAACTTTGGAATGAACTTTAAAGGTGCCATAAAATATACTTTCCACGTTCTGCTTCAGCTTGCAACTTCTGTACGGAAATAAATCTCTTCATGTGTGCTTCCTTTCGAGTTTTTTCCCTAAATTTTGAAGGGGACAAATTGTCCCCTTGGCCGTTTTTTAAAGGGACAATTCCAATTGCAGTGCGGGATTGGCGCAATGGCGCGGCCTGGCTCAAACCCTGTTCTACCCAAAAAAATCCCAGAGTCTAAAATGTCCAAACCTCTAAAAATCCTTCGATTGTGCATCCCTGCCACTTGAAATCTGGATTACCCCTCTGGGCCCCTCCCCACCCCTTCACTTTCTTAAATGGTTAGGATACAAGGAAAACATGTTTCTATTTCCACTTAATAGACCTTGTCACGGTTTTCAATGCCATCTTGATGAGTAGGCAAACGCGTGAGAAATTACAGGGTTTGTATGGGAATCTAATTTCGAATAATTTCCGTAAAATGGCTGTTCTGAAAAAAATATGATTTGTAAACTAAAGCTTTATTCCTAAGGACTCTAATGAAAAAAATTGAGGGTGTTACATGTACTAGAAGACCTAGAACCACTTTTTAAATTTCCTATAAATTAATTGTCTGTAAGAAAGTCCTGGAAAAATTACAGACAAATATATGGAAAATCTAAAGCAAGCCTATATATAGAGAGGTACGCCTACGACAATCCTTTGCTTTGTAGATTTAGTTTACAATTGGTATTTTTTTCAGAACAGCCGTTTTACGGAAATTATTCGACACTAGATTCTCATACAAACACTGTAATTTCTCACACATTTGCCCACTCGTCAAGATGGCGTCGAAAACCTTGACAAGGTCTATTGATGAGAGAAACAATATTTCATGATAATAATGAGATCAAAAATAAGCAAACCAATCTATGTACACATGTTAAGTGTGTAATGGGCCTGTGCTACACTAAAAATTACCAACCACTCTTTCAACAGATGAAAGGCAATAATGTTGGCTTACCGTTTTCATAATTTGCTTTTCTATTAAAAATTTAGCTAAAATTAATAAAGCTACAATCCACTGAAAAGAAAACTTGGTAAGTAACCTTCTCCCAATAAGTGCCCGTCTCCTTTTAGCTGAAATTTGTCACAAGAGCCCAGGCGCTTATAAGAGGAAAACAGTAATATTAATTTTTATTTTGCCAAGTTTTCATCTGCTCATTCCCTAATAATTATGAGAAACTCACAGCCTGAGTCTGACGTCTGGCATCTGCCGTAAAGGTGATTGTAAATCTCTTCAATGACTGGCCACATCGAAGGGCCAAATCATAATGACCGTTTTAAATAAGGTGTCGGAAAACTTAAAAGCTGTAAAATGCATGGCTGGTTCTGCTGTAATGTACAATGCAAGACGTATTTCAGTTCCTCAGAGTCACGCGATACGTCTCGTGTACTCGACTGCAGAAAGATCACTGATTGCACATGCCTTGAGGCCTAATAGAAAAGTTATAAGTTGCAGTTTTCTTTTCGAATGTAAAAACAACGGAGGCCTTGTGAATTTACAGGAAGAAAGTTAGATTATAAATTCAATAAGCTTACGCTTAATGCTTACCTAAACTTCAGGAATCTTGCAACGAAAATGCAGCCACCTGGAGGCCATCTTTGCTTCCATATCGTCACAGTTAGGCATAAGGAAACGCTTGGTGAGAAGATTGAATCAGCCCATGACTGCAAGACTGATGAAAACAGCTAGAAGTTTGAAAGTTCCTCACGAAATTGTACAGATTCTCTTCTCTGCAGCGCTTCCGCCTTGGCTCCCTTGGCTTGGTAAGAAA